TGGCTCTTTTTAAATTAGTTAATTGGAGATAAGAGTCTCATGGACTTTCCTGCTGGGGCCAGCTTTGAATCGAGATCCTCAGATTTCAGCCTCCAGAGTAGCTGGGATTATAGTTGTGAGCCCACCTATCTGACTATCTAGTTCGGAGAGTAATCTTTTGGCTTTTTTTTTTGGTCCAGTCATGGGGCCTGAACTCTGGGTCTGGGCGCTGTCCCTCAGCTCTTCAGCTCAAGGCTAGCGCTCTACCACTTGAGCCACAGTGCCACTTCTGGTTTTTTTCTTTTTTGCTTATGTGGTGCTGAGGAATCGAATCCAGGGCCTCGTGCATGCAAGGCAAGCGCTCTACCACTGAGCCACCTTCCCAGCCCCTCTTTTGGCTTCTGTGGAGATTTAAACTCCCAAATTCCTTGCTTAGATTTTGACATGTAATTAGATCAGTTCCCAGATCTGAGTACCCAGGGTTAGGTGTTAGGATTTAGGAGATAACTTGGTCAACATTTCTTGTATCTCTCGATTTTAGTTAAATCTTTACAGAAATTTCATATTCAAATAACTGAAAGTCAAATACAATGATTATCTCAGAAAGTTTTTCTTTTTTTCAGAACACAGTAATCACAATAAAACTCAACCCTTCCTTTCACGTAGAAACACTACCAATGAATGTTTTCAAAACAAATAGTTATGAAAGTGAAAAAAAAAATTGTGCAAAGCCAGTGTGATAATATAGTTTTGAAAACTCGTGGCCTGGTCTTGCTCATTCTTGGGGTCTGTTGCTCAGGCTGGAGAAGCACGGGTAGAGTCCCACTACTGACTAGCACACATATCCTGGAACTCTTGATTCAAGGAGTCTCCACATTGATGCTGAAGGAATCAGCAGCAAGCTCCTAGGCTCAAGAAATCTTCCTGCTTCAACCTCCCCTGCAGCTGGGACTATAAGTGCCTGTCATTGCAGATGGTTCCTTGAGAGTTTTTATACTAGCAGGAGCTCTTAGTATGTATACATGTATCTTTCACAATCCATGAATGAGACTTTTTGAATAAAGGATAAATATAGTATTCTCCTAATAACTTCATTAAGAATATTTATAAGAAGCCAGGCAAAGCTGGGCGCCGGTGGCTCACGCCTGTAATCCTAGCTACTCAGGAGGCTGAGATCTGAGGATCGAGGTTCAAAGTCAGCCCGGGCAGGAAAGTTCGTGAGACTCTTATCTCCAATAAACCACTAGAAAACCAGAAGTGGTGCTGTGGCTCAAACGGTAGAGCGCTTGCCTTGAGCTGAAGAGCACAGGGACAGCTCCCAAGCCCAGAGTTCAAGTCCTACAACCAACAACAACAAAAAAAAGCCAGGCACTGGTGGCTCACACCTGTAATCCTAGTTACTTAGTAGGCTGAGATCTGAGGATCGCAATTCAAAGCCAGTCTGGGCAGGAAAGTCTGTGAGACCTTGATCTCCAATTAACCACCAGATAACCGGAAGTGGCACTGTGGCTCAAGTGGTAGAGCACTAGCCTTGAGCTGAAGAGCTGAGGGACAGCGCTCAGGCCCAGAGTTCAAGCCCCACAACTGACACACACACACAAAGAATATTTATAAGTAGGTGGTCACTTTGCACAAAACTAAAATCATTATTATCTAAGATCCACTCAGTTGAAGAGGTGGGGACCTGTAAATCTCAGCATTTGGCAGGTGAGACAGGAGTTGAAAGCCAGCCTGAGCTACATACATAGTGAGACTTTGCCTCACTCAAAACAAAAACAAAGCTGGGCGTTCTTATTATGTATATATGTATCTTTCACAATCCATGAATGAGACTTTTTGTTTTTGTTTTTTTTGGGTCCAGTTGTGGGGCCTGAACTCTGGGCCTGAGCGCTGTCCCTCAGCTCTTCAGCTCAAGGCTAGCGCTCTACCACTTGAGCCACAGCGCCACTTCCGGCTTTTTCCTTTTTGCTTATTGGTGCTGAGGAATCGAACCCAGGGCCTCATGCATGCAAGGCAAGCACTCTACCACTGAGCCACCTTCCCAGCCCCCGAATGAGAGTTTTTGAATAAAGGATATGGTATTCTCCTAATAACTTCATTAAGCATATTTATAAGAAGCCAGGCACTGGTGGCTCACACCTGTAATCCTAGCTACTCAGAAGGCTGAATTCTGAGGATCATGGTTCAAAGCCAGCCCCAGCAGGAAAGTCCATGAGACTCTTATCTCCAATAAACCACTAGAAAACCGGAAGTGGCACTCTGGCTCAAGTGGTAGATCATTTGCCTTGAGCTGAAGAGCGCAGGGACAGCATTCAGGCCCAGAGTTCAAGCCCCACGACCGACAAAAATACAAAAACAAAAACAAAACCCCACCAATAAAGGTAAATCAATTAAAATTGGGGATAGTAAAAAAATAGGCAGGGCTGGGAAGGTGGCTCAGTGGTAGAGCGCTTGCCTTGCATGCATGAGGCCCTGGGTTCGATTCCTTAGCAAACCACATAAGCAAAAAGAAAAAACCCGGAAGTGGTGCTGTGGCTCAAGTGGTAGAGCACTAGCCTTGAGCTGAAGAGCTGAGGGACAGCGCCCATGCCCAGAGTTCAGGCCCCACAACCGGACCTCCCCCACCCCCCAAAAAAGGCAAATATGCTGGGTCCCAGTGACTCATGCCTATAATCCTAGTTATTCAGGAGGCTGAGATTGAGGATTGTAGTTTGAAGCCAACCTGGGCAGAAAGCCCATGAGACTTTTCATATCCAGTTAAATACCAAAAAAGCCAGAGATAGAGTTGTGCTAGCCTTGAGCACAAAAACTCAGGATCAGTGCGCAGGCCTTGAGTTCAAGCCCCAAGACCAGCACAAAAATAAAATTAAAAAAAATTCAAATATTTCCTATTTTAACTAAAGACCAAACCACTATTTACAACATTAAAGCATAATAGAATAAACAAGCTATTGACACTACCACTCACATTCACTGTGAGGAAAAGACTATTAATCAGAGTGCATTTCAACAGACAAATTTATTTATATTTGTTTTCTCCCAAACACATGATAGATTTGAAAGCAAGTCCAGATACCAATAATGAATGACGAGAGCTTCAATAGCTTGCCATCACAATTTGCTTTATCGGAGGAAGGGGAATTTAGCTCATATGCCTAGCAAGCTGGAGGCTCCGGATTCAATTCCTAGAAATGCTACAAATAACAGACCCTAGCACCTGTGGACATACAACAGAACAGCACTGTGGCAGGCACTCCAAAAACTACTCAGCAGAAGAACTCAAAATCTGGCTGGCAAAATTTTGGGTTAATAAATTTCACTCAACTAGGGAAGACAACTACCTTAAGTGTATTGAAAGAAAGAAGAAACTGGGCACTGGTGGCTCATGACTATAATCCCAGCTACTCAGAAGACTGAGATCTGTGGATCAAGATTAGAAACCAGCTCAGTCAAAAAAAGTCTGTGATGGGGCTGGGAAGGTAGCTTAGTGGTAGAGGCTTGCTTTGCATGCATGAGGCTCTGGGTTTGATTCCTCAGCACCACATAAGCAGAAAAAGACAAAAGTGGTGCTGTGGCTCAAGTGGTAGAGTGCTAGCCTTGAGCTGAAGAGCTGAGGGACAGTGCCCAGGCCCAGCGTTCAGGCCCCTCGACAGACCAAAAAAGAAAGTCTGTGAGATGCTTATCTCCAATTAACCAGCAAAAAGTTAGAAGGGGTTGTGGCAACATGATAGAGCACCAGCCTTGAGTGAAAAAGCTGAGATAGTGCCCAGACCCTAAGTTCAAGCCCAATACCAGCATGAGAAAGAAAACAAAAACAAAAAGAAGGAAGAAAACTGGGGGCTGATGAGAAAACACGCATAAAATATCTAGCAAGTTTACCAAGATACATTAGGTAGTATATAATATATACTTATGAAGCTTCCGTATGAAGCTCTGTAAGTAGAGAAAAGCACTGAAATAACTGCAGCTTAGCCTTATCCCCAGACATCATGCAAACAAGTTGTTTTGGTGACAAGAGGGACCGAATCAAAAGATTCAGTCACTTAATTAATTCACACAAATTGCACACAAATGCATCTTAATTTCTGGAAACATCTAAAACATATCCATATTGTTATGTCATCTACAAGGAAAAACAAGTTGACAGCAACAGTTTTCAAGACCTCTAGAGAATTAAATCATGGAAAGTGATTTCTACTGCCTTTATCTCCTAACGTTGCATCTGACACGTACATGACATAAATTCACCTTAAACATTATGACAACTTCTAAATTAGAAACTCAAAAGAGACTTTTTAAAAAAGTGGAGTCACCTTCTAAATGCTTTATAATAAATTTTAAATGAGTCTAAGGAATCAACACACTAATATGACAAATCCATTCCCACTAGCTTAGCCAATTTCCGTCAAAAAATAACTTGCAGTACAAGGTTCAACTCCTCCTTCCTTGAGCAATACAAAGTAAGTCTAATATTCTTCTCTTTCATTATAACATAGAAAAATGTCTGTGCAGTTATTCTCCTCCAATACTTAGAACTGCTGTCACTTCTCAGTTTAATCCCATTTATTTCATTAAGAAAAGCAAATCCTTATTTAAAAAAGTAAAAAAAAAAGTAAACCATGACACTCACTGCAATCTATGAAAAGTAATTTAACAGGCTGGCAGCACATTGGAAACTGAACTAATGAAACCTCTAGCAAAAATAAACACTTCCTAATTCTGTGTCACAGGAAGCCAAAACAACTAACACGTGTTACATACCAGAGATCCAAACCTTAAAGAAGCTATATAAATAAATTTATTTAAAAGTGCATAAATGCCTACGTGCAATTCTTAATAAGCCATTTTACTTATAGAAAACCCAAAGCATCTTTTCAATCTGTTTACAGCATCCTTTCCACATGGGTAGACCATTAACAGAATTAAAGTTATTTTCAGAAACGTGGTCAGCTACTGACAGGGAGTCTAAACACACAGTGCTTTTATTTGCACACTGAAAAATGAACAGCTTGTAAGATGCCTTTCAGGACAGTCAATAGGTTTTATTTACATTGCTTTGAGAAAAGAAGACAAAAGATAGCTCTTCACAATGGACTCGCTGCAATCTCAATTTGGAGGATAAGAAGCAACAGAAAACTTTAAAATGAAATGAAAGCCGAACTTCCACGTCCAACAACCTAAATAAGTAGACAAAGTGACTGAGAAACTCTCTTGAAATCGAGATCTACAAACTGACCGCCAGACCCAGAACTCAGACACGTAATGGACAAATAGTAATAATAAGATTATTATGATTATTAACCTGAAAAAAAGGAAACCCACCCGAAATACCAACATGGGGGAAAACAACAACAAAACAGCAGTACCGTTAGACCTGTCTTGTGAAGATTTCATCAGAAGATGCAGAGAAAACACCCACCGCCCCCTCCCCCAATTTGGTGCAAATGCACACCCCAGTTTCTCATGCACACCCCAATTTCTTTCCTGCGGGTCCCCTGGGCGCCGGCGAAGGCTGCTCCAGAGACAAGAAGTGGGAAGGTGCACTTTCTTCGGGGGGCGCGTGCACTCTCCTCCCCCCGGCCCCCCTCTCCGGTGCCTCCAAGATGGTAGGCAGGTTGTCGTTCCGCAGGCCGAGGAGCGGCTCTCTGGTGTTATGTCCCCGCGGTGCCGGTAGTGGTGCTGTAGGAGGCTGCTCCTCTTCTTGGGCAGCCCGGCAGCCCTGCCTTCTTGGCTGGAGAGTATATTCAGGGATTTCCCCTTAATAATCACCGACCCCGGGAGCACTTTTTAGTTTCCAAAATAAAAATATGATCCTCACCCCTCTTACTTGACAGGGAAAGGCTCTCGCCGCAGCCCAGGGGGAAGCGGTAGCAGCAGGAGCCGGGCTTCCTAGTTCACTGCCAGCGCCTCTCACTCTGATCTGTCAGCCCAGCCGAGGGAAAAGGGGGGAAGGAGGGAGGGGAGGAAAAAAAAAAAAAAAAAAAGCAGCTGAAAGGTAAGCAGAGGCGGCCCCAGGCCCGGCCCACATCCCCGGGCTCCCGTAGGGCGGCGGGCTGGGCCGCGCAAGCAGGGCGGGCGGCGAGCGCGCTTACGTGAGGCCGGGGATTCGCCGGCCCACGCCAGGCCCGGGGCGGAGAATGAAAGGGTGAGTGGGGCCGGCGCTGGGGTGGCGGGGGCCCGGGGACCTGGGGGCCTGAGGGGCGTCCGCCGGCAGCCACGGCGGGGGGTCCAGCGGGGCGGGAGTGTGTGTGTGTGCGGGGGTTGGAGGGGGGTGAACGGCGCGGCCTGCGCGGGCCGGGGTGAGGGGGTGTGCGGCGGGAAGGGGGGCGCCGGGCTAGGCCTCGGGCCGGCGGGCCCCGCGGCGGCCGCGCCCTGCCCCCCCCCACTCCGCACCCTGGGCCTCCCGCGCCGCCTGGGGTCTCCCGGGGCCTTAGGGCGGGACGGCGGCGCTGCGGGGCCGGATCGTGCGCTGACCCCGAGGCTCTCCCGCGGGGCGGCAGGCCCGGGCTGCCGGGACAGGGGCGTCAGGCCTAGGAGCGGGGCATGGGCGGCCGCCCCCCGTTCCCGTGGGTGTCTCGCAAACGCCCCCCGGATTCTGGTAACAGTTGAATTTATGACCCCCCCCCCCCCACTGGTTTGGCGCTCGGGGCGGCCGGGCCGGGGCGGGGCGGGCGGGAGGCCTGGCGGGCGTGGGGTGGGGTGGAGGGGCGGTGAGGAGTCAGGTGCAGCCGCGGCCCGGAAAGTTTCCTTTTAGGCCTGAATTGGGGGCTGTCCTCTCTTGGAGGAGCCCGGTTCCCAGCGCCCGGGACCCCCCCCCCCCCCCCAGGGCACCGGGGGCGAGCACTCGGCTATTTTGAAACTCTTTACCAGTTCCTGCCCGTGGAAGGTACTCCGCCCCTGCGCCCCGCGCCCGCGCCCCACCCCGGCTCCCCGGAGCCCCTTTCGGGGTTGCAAACTCCAGCCCGGTTCCCCCGAAAGCCCCAGGCCCGGGGAAAAGCCTTCTCTTCCGGGTTGGAAAAGTTTTCCGGGGATTTCTTTTCTCTCTCTCAGCGGTCTGAGTTAGTGCCTGGGCGTTTGGGGGTGGGGGGGGGGGTGAGGAGGAGGTGGCCCAGGTGCTGCTGCTCCTACCCGGTCTCGGCCCCTCGCTTGTTATGTTTTGCCTTTTCTCTCACAAACCGGGGCGCGGTGTTTTCGGATCCTCGCGTCCCTTTCCCTCCCCCCCTTTCCCCCTCCCCCCCAACTCAAACCCCCGGATTCTTTTACCCGCCCCCCCCTCGGATAGCGCCGACGTGGGGAGCAGCGGGGCCGCCTGGCGAGGGGCCGGCCCGGCCGCTTCGCGGCAGCCCCCCCCCCCCCCCACGGAGGAGGGTTCCCCCTCTTGTTGGGTCACTGTCCGGGAAACCCGACCCAGGAACTAAATCAACCCCTCGGGGACACCTCGGTTGTCAGGATACCAGGAAAGCCTTCGGAGGGAGGGAGGGAGGGGGGACAGGTGGGCAGGGCAGCCCGAGCCTGGCGTGAGGGAGGGTCAGGGGCCTTCTCTTCATTCTCATGCTAGTTATTTAGGTTTGCGTTCTAGTCTCACGTTGCACCCTAGAAATAGAAAAAAAGGGGGGGGGGATTTAAAGGACACTTAAACTTGGGATTGTTACAGCTCAGATGGGTCTGTGTGGGAAAAGCTTTCTGAGAACTGGAACCGAACTATGTTTTGATTGGGGGGTTTGCTTCCCCTGCCCCCCCCCACCCCGTGGACAGAATTCATTTTGTTGTTGTTGTGCTTTTCTGATGTCATGAGCTCTGAAAAGTTTCTTTTTTCATTTTCTTTTTTTTTTCCCCTTTCTTTCTTGTTTCATATGTAGTAAACTTAAAATTTCTTAATCTAGATTACCCACTTCTCCTGGACAGGATATTTCCTGTGGCTACAACTTAACCTCCTCCTGGTGATTCTTTAGGGTTGAAGTTGAAATGTTAATGGACTGTACCACCCTCCCCCAGCACCAGGGTGGCCTGTTGAGAGAGGCTATTAATCTTTATCATTTCCTCCCCCCCCCCATTTCTCTTTAGTAAGCTTGAGGTCGTGTATGTTGTGTGTGTGTGTGTCCATGTGTATGTATGTTTATATGTGTGTGTGTCCTATGTCCTGCTCCTCTCAGGGTTGGAGATTAAAGGGGAGTTACACACTGACCACTCAGCCTGCAGGGTACTGTGAACTGAAAATCCTGTCACTTGCAGAGCTGTGTGTAACCCAGTAGCTGGTCAATGCTGACTTCTGTCTTGTCTGAGGTCCCTTATGAGATTGCTTACCAAGTGTGTCTGTCTTTTCCTTCTATTTAAAATAAAACTGTTTCTCTACTATGATAGATAACAGGACATTTAGCATTTTGTTTCAGAAATATTGGTATTGAAGGTTGTATGGATTTATTTCAAAATGCAAAAGATGTTTATTGGTTGTCTTAACTTTATTGATGAATTGAAATTGCTTATTGATGTTGCTTTTTTAAAAATATAAACAGGCTTACTTCTGTTATAGTTGGTCTTTATATTTTAAGGGATGCTAAACAGAAATTACATCATTCCGAGTCTCTTTTCCAATAATGTTTTAAGGATGGAAAGAAATCGTATCATTACCTCATAGTTTGGTATTTTAAGGTACTTTATTAACTTCGTATTCTTAAACTTTCAAAAACTACATATGTACAATGCCTGGGCATGGCAGTTTAGGCCTGTAAGCCTAGCACTTGCTTACCTAGCATTCATGAAGCCCTGGGTTTGATTCCTCAGTACCACATAGACACAGAAAAAGCCAGAAGTGGTGCTCAAGCGCTAGCCTTGAGCTAAAGCTCAGGGACAGTGTTCAGACCCTGAGTTCAAGCCTCAGGACTGGCAAAAAAAAAAGTGAAGTAAATTTCTGAGGGTATATACTTTTTTTTTTTTTTTTTTGGGTCCGGTCATGGGGCCTGAACTCTGGGCTTGGGTGCTGTCCCTCAGCTCTTCAGCTCAAGACTAGTGCTCTACCACTTGAGCCACAGCGCCACTTCTGGCTTTTTTCTTATGTGGTGCTGAGGAATCGAACCCAGGGCCTCAGGCATGCATGGCAAGCGCTCTACCACTGAGCCAACTTCCCAGCCCCGGTATATACTTTTTTTAGTACCAAATTTTAAAATAGGTGTTGATGAATCTGAAATAATCAAGTTTCCTTTCCTATGAAAGAAGTTTGTAAGTTATAGTGTGACCTTTTGTGTGTGTGTGTATATGTGTGTATGTATGTGCATGCCTGTACTAGAGCTTGAACTCAGTACCTGGGTGTTAGCCCTTATTTTTTCTGCTCAAGGCTTGTTACTCTACCAATGTCCATCATCAGATCTTAGCCTCCCGAGTAGCTAGGATCACAGGTGTGAGCCACTGCTACCTGGTCATATTGCTACCATTTTTAGAGGAATAAAACTTTATATAGAAAAAAAATTTGAACTGTGAACACTCAAAGTTGAAAATGCCATTTAAAAATAAATGCTTTTCCATTCATTCTTAGACCTGAAATGCGCCTCAGAATTCTAGCTCTCACTACCCTGGTTTGGAATAGTGGTACCAAGGCTAATGAAAGGCTGTTGGCTATTTCTGTCTGTGTACAGTTGGCCTTTAAACTGGTAAGGCAGTGAGTGAACAGATGATCTTTGGAAGCCACAAAGCAGACACTCCACTGCAGATATTGTAGCCATGTCCATTTATGCTAATAGAACTGTGTCCTCACACTGTAATAGTGCTACTTCCCCACTTCCCACTGTATACAGTGTGAGTGTGTCCCTGACTTTACAGTCTCTTTTAGACAATTATCCTAACTAACCATTTTGAGATATTTGAGGATAAACCCAATTTAAATATTTAGGCCTTTTTCTTTTCCCTCTTTCACTTAGGGTTAGAGACTACTTGGTTCTTTCCTTGTTCTGTTTTAGTTTTTGTTTTTTGTTTTTAATAATGTTGAAGCTTTAACCCAGGGCCTTGGGCATGTGTAGCAAGTGTTTTGCCATTGAGCTACATTCCCAGTCTAGAACTGATTTTTTTTTTTTTTTTTGATTGGTAGAGGTGCTTGAACTCAGGGTTTGAGCCCTGTCCCTGAGCTCTTTTGCTCAAGGCTAGCACTCTATCACTTTGAACCACAGTGCCACTTCTAGATTTCTGGTAGTTATTTGGAGATAGGAGTCTCACAGACTTTTCTGCCTGGACTGGCTTTGAACCATGATCCTCAGATCTCAACCTCCTGAGTAGCTGGGATTACAGATGTGAGCCATCTGCTCCTGGCTAGAACTGAGTTTTGATGAAATATCTGTCATCACATTCCCATCAGGCCTTGGGGTCCGATTCCAGATCTCCACGGGGCCTTTTGCTTAATTTTTACTTTCTTTATCTGGAAATGGAGATAGAAGTCTTTGATGTAAACCCTAAGTGGGTAGAAAATGTTAATTCCCTTAGCATATTTCTCCATTTGTAATAGCACCATGAAAATACAATTTGTCTTAATGATTTGTTTGCTTTTTTTTGTAACTAAAAATAATATAGGCTCATACTATCTTTTGAGACTAGACCTGTTTATCTCACTCAGGATACTGTTAATTTTTCAGTTTGGTTTGTGTTTGTGTGAATATATGTATATAGCACAAACAAGCTAACACTTCCCTCTGTAACTATAGTTTTATAGGTTTTAACTGGTTAAAAGCAGGGGCTCTGGACTCATACTGGTCTTGGATCCTAGTTACATGACATTGGACAATTAAAATTAATCTAATTAAGCATCCATTTATTCATCTGTGAAAGAGATTGATATTAATGTCTACTTCATGGAATTGCTGGGAACTTAAATGAGGATTGCATATCAAGCCGTTAGAATGTTTCCAGGTATATAACTGTCTTCTCTGCTTTCCTTTGGCTTAGCTCCCTCCTCTACTCTCGCCGGTGCTCTGCAACTTGAGCCACACCTGTATTTCTGACATTTTGCTGGAGTCTCTAAGATTTGTCTGGCAAGGATGGCTTTGAACAGAACTGATCCTCTTCTAGGATCTCAGCCTTCTGAATAGCTAGGATTACAGACATGAGCCACCAGTGATAGCTAAACTTTTATTTATGTATGTATGTATTTATTTATTAAGGTACTCATCCTGGGGCTTGAACTCAGGGCCTATGCACTGTTCCTGAGCTTCTTTTTGCTCAAGGCTAGAGCTCTGCCATTTGAGCCACAGTGCCATTCCATCTTTTTGGGCAATTTAGTGGAGATAGTGCCTCACAGACTTTTCCTGCCTAAGCTGGCTTCAAACCTCAATCCTCATATCTCAGTCTCCTGAGTAGCTAGGATTACAGGTATGAGCCTCTGGCGCCCAGCTTATTTTGTTGCTAGTACTGGTACAAGAACTCAGAGCCACACTCAATTTGCTTTCTGCCATTTTAGTCACACCTTTAGCTCTGATGTGTGTGTGTGTGTGTGTGTGTGTGTGTGTGCGCGCGCGCGCACGCGCATGTGTGTGCGCGTGTGTGCATGCGCGTGCGTGCACGCCAGTCCTGGGACTTGAACTGTGGGCCTGAGAGCTGTCCCTGAGCTTCTTTGACTCAAGGCAAGCACTCCACTAGAGCTACAGTACCACTTAGGGCTTTTTCTGGAGATTAGAGTCTCATGGATTTTCCTGCCCTGGCTGGCTTTGAGCCATAATCCTCAGATTTCCACTTCCTGATTAGCTAGAATTACAAGCCTGAGCCACCAGCAATGGGTTAGTTCTGATCAGCTTTTTGTATGTGCTGGACTGGAGTTTAAAATCAGAGCCTAGGCACTGTCCCTGAACATATTTTTCTCAAGGATAGACCCTACCACTTGAGCCACACCTCTACATCTGGCTTTTTCAAGAGTCTAGGACTTTCCTGCCCTGGCTGGCTTGAATCCTCAGATTTCAGCCTCCTGAGTAACTAAGAAAGATTATAGACATGAGCTGCCAGTGCCTGGCTTGATTTATATTCTTTTTTTTTGTTGTTGTTAGTTGTGGTCTTGAACTCAGGACCTAGGCACTGTCCCTGAACTTTTTTGCTCTAGGCCAGTGCTCTACCACTTTGAGTCCCAGTACCACTTCTGATTTTCTTTTCTTTTTTCTTTTTTTGGGGTCGGTCATGGGGCTTGAACTCTGGGCCTGGGTGCTGTCCCTCATCTCTTCAGCTCAAGGCGCCACTTCTGGTTTTTCTCAATGGTTTATTGGAGATAAGAGTTTCAAGAACTTTCCTGCCTGGGCTGGCTTTGAACCGAGATCCTCAGATCTCAGCCTCCTAAGTAGCTAGGATTACAGGCATGAGCCACTAGTGCCCAGCCCACTTCTGGTTTTCTAGTAGTTAATTGGAGATAAAAGTCTCAAAGACTTTCCTGCCCGGGCTGGCTTTTAATCTCAATTCTCAGATCTCTACCTCCTCAGTAGCTAAGATGACAGGCGTGAGCCACCAGTGCCTGACTAATTTTTAATATTCTTGATATGAGGGGCTGGGAAGGTGGCTCAGTGGTAAAGCGCTTGCCTTGCTTGCTTGAGGCCCTGGGTTCGATTCCTCAGCATCCATAAGCAAAAAAAAAACCAGCCGGAAGTGGTGCTGTGGCTCAAGTGGTAGAGCGCTAGCCTTGAGCTGAAGAGCTGAGGGGCAGCTCCCAGGCTCAGAGTTCAGGCCCACGACCGGACCCAAAATAAAACAAAACAAATATTCTTGATATGAATTATTAATATATATATCCCCATCAAAGACCGAACCAAAAAAAAAAAAATAATGAGGACTAGCCAAGTGCCGGTGGCTCACGCCTGTAATCCTAGCTACTCAGGAGTCTGAGATCTGAGGATCATGGTTCAAAGCCAGCCGGGGCAGAAAAGTCTGTGAGACTCTTATCTCCAGTAAACCACTAGAAAACCGGAAGTGGTGCTGTGGCTCAAGTGGTAGAGTGCTCACCTTGAGCTGAAGAGCACAGGGACAGCGCCCAAGTCCAGAATTCAAGCCCTACGACTGACAAAAATAAATAAATAAATAAATAAATAAAATAAAATATTGAGGACTGAACTCAGGGCTTCCCACTCATAGCAAGTAGCTCTACTTGTGGGATATATCCCAGCCTGGCATTATAGGCATGAACCACAATGCCTTGGCTGCCTTTTAAGACTCTTTGAAAGCGTGAGTAGTTTGTGGCCTTGGTAGGCTCACTTAAGAACCTACTTGAGAAGATGGTAGGGACCTTTGAGTTAGAGCTGATCCATTCTTTCTCTTATCAATGCTGAGACACTTTCTCTACCCTGTACAGTTTTTAGTTTAGTGATTTTAAGGGGTGGGTTAGCCTAGGGGAAGAAACCTATTTTTTCACTCTGGCCTGGGGACAGGCCCTAAGGCAGGGCTTTGCTAAGGAGGATTCTGCCCTAAGCAGATGGGAGGAGTTAGGTATTCCTGGAGGTGGGACCTGCTTGTAGGAATAAATACCTGGGGACAAAAGAGTGTTCTGTGTTGCAAATTGTGATTCTGGGTGGCCTTGGGTAGGGGCAGTTTTTGAGTTTTGAAGCTAGAATGCCTGTCGGACCACATGTTTTTGCACTAGATCTTAGATTTGTTCAGAATTTATGAGGAGACCTTTAAGGCCTTTGGCCAGGTAAATTATTTAAAATTTAGAGGATTTTGAATTTTATAAAAGGTGGAATAAAGGAGATCAGAACTGGAGTCTGCTAGTGAGAGTGAGGAGGAGGGTTTGACTGAGGTGGAGAGGAAGAGAAGAGGCTGGTGGAGAAGGTAAGCAGGCCTTAGGTTGGCCACGTGGAGATGTGGGGTGGCACTTAATGAACACTGGCAATTTTTTTTCTTTCTTTTTGACTTTTTTTTTTTGTCTCAGTACAGGGGCTGGAACTCAATGCCTAGTCACTTTTCAGCTTTTTCCACTTAAGGTTGGCACTCTACCACTTGAGCCACATCTCCATTTCCAGCCTCTCCCCTCTCCCCCCAGTTTATTGGAGATAGTTTCACAGACATTTCTGCCCGAGTTGGCCTCCACCCTTGATCCTCATATCTCAGCTTCCTGAGTGGCTAGGATTACAGGCGTGAGCCACCAGTGCCGGAGAGGGAGGGAGGGACGGACAGAGCAGGGAGAGGGTGTGTGTGTGTGTGTGTGTGTGTGTGTGTGTGTGTGTGTGTGTGTGTGTGTGTGTGTGTGTGTGTGTGTGTGTGTGTGTGTGTGTGTGTGTGTGTGTGTGTGTGTGTGTGTGTGTGTGTGTGTGTGTGTGTGTGTGTGTGTGTGTGTGTGTGTGTGTGTGACGGACAGAGCAGGGAGAGGGTGTGTGTGTGTGTGTCTGTGTGTGTGTCTGTGTGTCTGTGTGTGTGTCTGTGTGTCTGTCTGTGTGTGTCTGTGTCTGTGTGTCTATGTGTGTGTGGACTTAAGGCCTGCTTGCTGGCCCTGAGCTTTTTGGCTTCAGGCTAGCACTCTAACCTCTTGGGCCACAGCTCTCACTTCTCTCAACATTTTCAAACATTGTTCAAATCCTGAGTAGTAACCTTTAGGGTGAACAGAGTAATAATGACAAGAAAGCCCATGGAGATGTTATCTTTGACATTCGGTGTTTGTATGTAATTTAATTGCTGCTGTCTCATAATTTGATCTTGTTTAGAAACTTCAATTGGCTGCTGATGTGAAAATGTTAAGGGATTCTGTGTCAAGTTTTGGATTTTTAAATCTTTTGGAACTTTGGAGTCTGGAAATCTTAGGTCTTTCTTTCCTTTAAAAAATTTTAATTACACTGACTTGCTTAAACTTGTTGGAGTCAACGCTTTTAGATGAACAAAATTTATAAAGGTCTGCCCCTGGCCTACTCCTGTGGCTCCTACTCCTGTAGGTATTCCTGTAAAGCACAATTAGAAGAACCTTGAAGGAAACTTGACCCGTGTGAGTCCTAGAGAGCTGGGTTAGGGGCCTGTCTTAAATAGTGGAAGGCCTGCCTTGAGTTCAAGCCTCAGTTCTATCAAAAAATGGAGAGAGAGAGAAAGAAAAAAGACACCAATGATTGAGCTGTGAGGAAGAAGGGATTTTCAAGTAGAGAAAGTTGTCTACAGTTGCCTTGCTACAACAAGGCCTGGAAGCCAGAGGGGAAAAGTGTATTGAGGAATTTAATAACAAAGACACAATTAGTTTCAGATTTTTAGAACAAAAGAACTTTGAGGAGTATGACCTACAACTTAGTTTTTCTTCTTTTGTGTCAAGCAAGGTACTGTTTTGTGATAGTAGGGTCTGGCTGGATGAATTGAGAGAGCATTTGGTTGAAAAGGATGTTAATTTGAGGTAATAAATGTTCTAATCAAATCAAATACTATTCTTCTACGTGTTGGTGTTAGTGGGGTTCAAATCTAATGGCCTCACAAAGACTATGAAAGCTGTCCACCACCAAATCATACCTACTCCAGTTCTACTAGTATATTTTCCATTATAAGAACATCAGGGCTGGGAAGTTGACTCAGTGGTAGAGTGCTTGCCTTGCATGCCTGAGGCCCTGGGTTTGATTCCTCAGCACCACATAAGCAAAAAGAAAAAAGCCGGAAGTGACGCTGTGGCTCAAGGGGTAGAGTGCTAGCCTTGAGCTGAAGAGCTGAGGGACAGTGCCCAGGCCCAGAGTTCAGGTCATATGACTGACAAAAGAAGAAAGAAAGCTGGGCGCTGGTGGCTCACGCCTGTAATCCTAGCTACTCAGGAGGTTGAGATCTGAGGATGGAGGTTCAAAGCCATACCAGGCAGGAAAGTCCGTGGAACTCTTCTCTCCAATAAACCACCAGAAAACCGAAAGTGACGCTGTAGCTCAAGTGATAGAGCACTAGCCTTGAGGTGAAGAGCTGAGGGACAGCGCTCAGGCCCAGAGTTCAAGCCCCACGACTGACAAAAAAAAAAAAAAAAAAAAACAAAGAAAGAACTTCAGTATATAACTTCTGTATAGAAAATATTTTTAATGTAGATTGAAGGAAAGAATTCTCTGGGAGTTCTGTAGCTAGGCCTAAGAAGGTGGAGTCCTTCAATTAATGGAGATTACATTGTACCATTCAGACAACCACTAGCAGACTGTGTTTTTAGCCCTGTAGAGTTTAGATTAAAATGATAATACTAATAAGCTGCAACTTACTTTTTCTAATAGTAGTGAACGGAGTGATTATTACATGCTGGGTACCATGCTAAGCTCAATTCATGAAATACCTAATTTAATGCTCCTAAGCAAGTAAATGAGGTGCATACAGTTATAATCTTCCTTTCACAGATGAGAAAATTTACCAGACTTGAGTCCCATCTGATTTCTACCAGAGCCAATGAGTGATCTTTACTGCTGCATGAACTATCTGTACCTTTCTAATAAATCAGGTAAGGAACTTTAAATTACTGTCATTTAAGTTCATAATGCAACTTTTATTTGTCCAGTGCTGTTTGAAGCACAGTCTTTAGAATGTAACAGATATTTAAAAAGCATATTCTACTTTTAAGTATGTTAGTTTGAATAGTATTCTGAATATTACTAATATTTTTGAGTGGTAGGCAGGTTTTTTTCACTTTAGTTATTTATTTTTGGTGCCAATACTGAAGCTTGAACTCAGGGCCTGGGCAGTCTCTCTGACCTTTTTCCCCCCTCAAGGCTGGCATTCTACCACTTGAGCCACAGTTCTACTTCCATCTTTTTAGTGGTTAACTGAGTAAGAGTTTCATAGACTTTCCTGCCTGGGTTGGCTCTGAACCTCAATCCTCAGAGCTCAGCCTCTTGAGTATGATTAGCAGTGATAGCTTTCATTGTTTTTCTTTGTCTTTCAGTTCATGAATTGTCCATATTTACTTTTTAAATTTTTTTATTTTTATTTTTTGGTGCTGGTACAAGGACTTGAGCTCAGTGCTTAGTATTCATACTTGGCTTTTTAGCTTAAGGCTAGCTCTCTACCACTTGAGCTATACACCTTCACTTCAAGAGTCCTTGGGATTTGCCCCTGGCTGGCTTTGAACTACAATCCTCTGATCTCAGCCTCTTGAATAACTAGCATTACAGGCTTGAGCCACCAGCACCCTGGTTCAGAGTTTACTACTTTGATTGATGTGTACATTTTAGTTGTCCCACCCCCAACCTTGTTGTGCTGATTCTGGGGCTTGGATTCAGGGCCTGGGCTCTGTCCCTGAGCTTGTTTTGCTCAAGACTAGCTCTCTACTACTTGAGTCACAGCTCATTTGCAGCTTTTTTTGGGTAATTTATTGGAAATAAGTGTCATGGACTTTTTCTGCCAAGGCTGTCTTTGAACCATGATCCTAAAATACCAGCCTCCTGAGTAGGATTACAGGCATGAGCTATCAGTGTCTGGCTGGATGTTAGGTTTTTAAAATCAATTTAGTATTCTGTCTAGATAAATACATTTACCTTTTGCTGTATCAAGTTGTTTTTTTTTTTTTTTGTCGTGGGGCTTGAACTCTGGGCTTGGGCACTGTCCCTCAGCTCTTCAGCTCAAGGTGAGCGCTCTACCACTTGAGCCACAGCGCCACTTCTGGCTTTTTTTCTTTTTGCTTATGTGGTGCTGGGGAATCGAACCCAGGGCCTCATGCATGCAAGGCAAGCGCTCTACCACTGAGCCACCTTCCCAGCCCCTTCAAGTTGATTTTTAAAGTTGACTTTAAAATACAAGATTTTGAATGTGTTTGTAATAATCGCAACTTTTAGGATTAGTGGATTTTTTTTTTTAATTTATGTTTTTGTGGGTCATGGGGCTTGAACTCTGGGCCTGAGAGCTGTCCCTCAGCTTGTCAGCTCAAGGCCAGCACTCTACCACTTGAGCCACAGCACCACTTCCGGTTTTCTGGTGGTTAATTGGAGATAAGAGTCTCATGGATTTTCCTGCCTGGGTTGGCTTTGAACTGTGATCCTCAGATCTCAGCCTCCTGAGTAGGTAGGATTATAGACGTGAGCCACTGGCGCCCAGCTTTTCTTTTCATTCTTACCTCCAGCCTTCCACAACTGGACTTTTCTCTTTTTTTTTTTTTTTTTTTTTTGGGTCCGGTCGTGGGGCCTGAACTCTGGGCCTGGGGGCTGTCCCTCAGCTCTTCAGCTCAAGGCTAGCGCTCTACCACTTGAGCCATAGTGCCACTTCCGGCTTTTTTCTTTTTGCTTATGTGGTGCTGAGGAATCGAACCCAGGGCCTCAGGCATGCAAGGCAAGTGCTTTACCACTGAGCCACCTTCCCAGCCCAAATATTATTTTACTTTATTTTTTTTGGGGGGGGTCTGGTCGTGGGGCCTGAACTCTGGGCCTGGGAGCTGCCCCTCAGCTCTTCAGCTCAAGGCTAGCGCTCTACCACTTGAGCCACAGCGCCACTTCCGGCTTTTTTTCTTTTTGCTTATGTGGTGCTGAGGAATCGAACCCAGGGCCTCAGGCATGCAAGGCAAGCGCTCTACCACTGAGCCATCTTCCCAGCCCCCCCAAATATTATTGTATTTTCTAATTCCTTTGACATAAGCTAAAACTAAGCTCTAACTTCTAACATACAATGGATATCACCTAAAAAAGGAAGAGTGTTCAAGGTGTGATTCAAATGGTAGCAAACAGGATATATGAGTTCAAACCTCAAGATCACCAAAACAAATGAAAGAAAATCTTAGACTGAATTTACTAACATCTCTAATAGCTATCATCTTTCGCTGTGGAGACAACTTGCTTATCCTTAAAGCAGAGAATGTAGGCAATTAAGCACTTAACAGCAACAGCAGAATATATACTCTTACTTATTACCAAAATACAGAAATAGCTATTAGTTAGAACAGACAGTATTTAAGGCTCATAGAAAGGATATTTTAACAGCAAACACATCCATCTACTGAACTCAAAATAGGAAATACGGTCAGGAAAGTCTGTGAGACTCTTATCTACAATAAACCACCAGAAAACCAGAAGTGGCAGTGTGGCTCAAGTGGTAGAGTGCTTGCCTTGAGCTGAAAAGTGCAGGGACAGTGCTCAGGTCCAGAGTTCAAGCACCATGAGCAACAAAAAAAAGAATGAAGAAGTTTCTTTCCCTGAGAACTACCTGAGTGCTTTTTGTCAGCATTTCTTCTTTACTTAAAAAGGAAAAAAACCCAACCTATTTATTAATTCATGTAGAAAAGATCAAATGAGTAGTTGTTTCCAATTTGAACACGTGTGTGTGTGTGTGTGTGTGTGTGTGTGTGTGTGTGTGTGTATGTGTGTGTGTATGTGTGTGTATGTGGTGTTGGTCTTGGGGCTTGAATTCAAGGTCTAGGTGCTGTCCCTGAGCTTTTTTGCTCAAGGCTACTGCTCTACCACTTAAGCCATGGCTCTTGTGTTCCTGAGACAAGGAAGTCCATGAGAGTCAACTCCAATTATGGAGTTGACTCTCATGGACTTCCTTGTCTCAGCTGACTTTAAACTGAAGTCTTCAGATCTCAACTTTCTCAGTAGCTAGCATTACAGGAATGAGCTACCAGCACTTGGCCACAAAGTAAAATAATACTCATTTAAAAGAAGTTAGGGGGTTGGGGGTTTAGCCCAGCGGAAGGGCGCCTGCCTGGCGTGCGCAAGGCCCTGGGTTCGGTCCTCAGCCCTGGATAATAAAAATAAAAGAAGTTAGATTTCAAAACAGCACCATTCCTCTCTCTCGATTTTTCAGGGTTTGGCTCTATAGGTCAGGTTGGACTTGAACTCATGTCTCCTGTCTCTGCCTCCTAGAATTGTAGGTATGTATCCCCACATGTAGCAGAGATATTTGAAAATAGAGAACACTTGACTGTTTTAGGAAGATAGATACAAAGAGTGATAGGGTGTAAAATAATCTTTTAATAGGTCTTTTTTTTTTTTTTTTTTTGGGTCCGGTCGTGGGGCCTGCACTCTGGGCCTGGGCGCTGTCCCTCAGCTCTTCAGCTCAAGGCTAACGCTCTACCACTTGAGCCACAATGCCACTTCCGGCTTTTTTCTTTTTGCTTATGTGGTGCTGAGAAATCGAACCCAGGGCCTCATGCATGCAAGGCAAGCGCTCTACCACTGAGCCACTTTCCCAGCCCTTTTAATAGGTCTTTATTAAAAGAGCCGAACACTGGTGGTTCATGCTCTAATCCTAGCTACCTCAGGAGGCTGAACTCTGAGGATCGCGGTTCAAAACCAGCCAGAACAGGAAAGTCTGAGACTCTTATCTCCAGTTAACCACCAGAAAACTGGAAGTGGCACTGTGGTTCAAGTGGTAGAGTGCTTGCCTTGAGCTGAAATGCTCAGGGGCAGTGCCCAGGCCGAGTTCAGCCCCACAACTGACCAAAAAAGGCGGGGGCTGGGAAGGTGGCTCAGTGGTTAAGTGCTTGCCTTACATGCGTGAGGCCCTGGGTTCCATTCCTCAGCACCACATAAGAAGAAAAAGCCAGACGTGATGCTGTGGCTCAAGTGGTAGTGCACTAGCCTTGAGCTTTGAACTGAGGGACAGCACCCAGGCCCAGAGTTCAGGCCCCACAACTGACAAAAAAAAAAAAAAAAAAATTGAAAGAAGAAAGAGAAAGGAAAAATTAATCACAAATAAGTTTGGAAATTAGTCTCAGGTAAAACAAAGCTGAAGAGAAGTTGTAAGATGTTGAAATATACCTTAATGTAATAACATAGACATAGAGGTAATTAGTGAGAGCATTGGCTTTATTGGGTAACTAGTGAAAGAATACAGTTGAGTAAATTAGTGAGTTTATAAGAAAAATTAAATAGGCACATTATTTTAATGAACATCACTTGCTAAGTAAATGCTGAGTGGCAAATTCTATGACATCTGTGTGATGGCATATTGGATGTTACTTCATCAAATGTTCCAGATATTTATAAGTTTTGTTTATCGCTTTGTTTATGTAATGTTGGGAAATGACCCCAGGCCTGGAACATGCTAGGCAAGGGGTCTCCCACTAAGCTTCAAACATTTTCAAGCTTCTAAATTACATTAACTTCTCTTTATATGTGACTACAGCCATTAGAAATAATATTATGGATTGCTCAATTTACTGATTTTTAAGGGATTATCTTAAGAGCTGAGGGTATAACTCAGTAGCTAAGTAGAGTGCTTGCTCATCATGGATGAGGTCCTTTCAGTTCCCGGCACTGGTGGAGGGTCAGGGGATGGAGGAAGAGGTTTAATTATCAAAGGTATGTGCATTGACATGTGAATAGATGATCTGAAATGAAGAGTTACTGTCACAAAATTAGTTTGTTTTCAGTATGTATTTTCTGTGTGTCTTTAACTTCGGGGTCCTGTGCTAGGCTTGGAGTATAATAATGCACAGAAAATGGTTGGTCCCTGTGAGAGCCCGTTTTCTAAGGGAGAAGAACTGAACAGGCAGCAGGAGTATAGTGTGATGAGGGACCAAATGGGGAAATGCACATTGTACCTCAGAGGAATGTAGAACTAACACAGCTTTTGGGGGTCTGTATGTGGTAATTACTAAACTATATTTCTAAGCATTAGACTAAGGCTGCTTAAGAGTAGTAGGGCACTAGGTTGTAAAGAGGGAGTGGTCTCACTTGTAATCCTACCTACTCAGGAGGCTGAGATCTAAGGATAACAGTTAAAAGCCAGCCCGGGCAGCAAAGTCCATCTCCACCAGGAACCCAGAAGAGGCACTTTGACTGAAGTGGTAGAGAGCTTTTGCCTTGAGCTGAAGAGCTCAGGACAGAACCCATAACCAGAGTTCAAGACCCATGACTGACCAAAAAGAAAAGGAGAGAGAGGTCTATTTTTCTGGGCAGAGTAGCAGTCTGCTTTTAGACTGCTTTTTAAGTCTGTGAATAATATTCCTTTATTTTGAATGCATTTTGAATGTTTTGTAGATTACAATTTTCTTTTTCTTTTCTTTTTTTTTTTTTGGGTCCAGTCGTGGGGCCTGAACTCTGGGCCTGGGCGCTGTCCCTCAGCTCTTCAGCTCAAGGCTAGAGCTCTACCACTTGAGCCACAGCACCACTCCCGGCATTTTTCTTTTTGCTTATGTGGTGCTGAGGAAACCCAGGGCCTCATGCATTGCAAGGCAAGCGCTCTACCACTGAGCCACCTTCCTAGCCCTAGATTACAATTTTCTAAGGGTAAGAATTATAATCATCGGTCTGGGAAAGGTGGCTCAGTGGTAGAGTGTTTGCCTTGCATGTGTGAGGCCCTGGGTTTGATTCCTCAGCACCACAAAAGCAGAAAAAGCCAGAAGTGATGCTATGGCTCAAGTGGTAGAGTGCTAGCCTTAAGAGAGAGAGAGAGAAAGAAAGAAAGAAAAAGAAATATAACCATCACAGGTACTATAAAAATGAAAGGACCTAATAAGTGGGGTTTTTTTTGTTTTTTTTTTTTTGCTTTTGCTTTTTGCCAGTCCTGGGGTTTGAACTCAGGGCCTGGTCACTATTCCTGAGCTGCTTTTATTCTTTTTTTTCTTATTCTTCTTCGTGTGTGTGTGTGTGTGTGTGTGTGTGTGTGTGTGTGTGTGTGTGTGTCGTGGGGTTTGTGTGTGTGTGTGTGTGTGTGCGTGTGTGTTCGTGGGGTTTGAACTCTGGGCTTGGCTGCTGACCCTGAGCTCTTCAGCTCAAGGCAAGCACTCTACCACTTGAGCCACTTTCCGTTTTCTGGTGATTAATTAATTGGAGATAAGAGTCTCATGGATTTTCCTGCCTGGGCTGACTTTGAACCGTGATCCTCAGATCTCAGCCTCCTGAGTAGCTAGGATTACCGGAGTGAACCACCAGTGCCTGGGTCCTGAGCTTCTGGCTTCCGGCTTTTTCTGTTTATGTGATACCCAGGACTTCATACATGCTAGGCAAGCATTCTACCACTAAGCCACATTCCCAGCCCTAGCAACTTTTTTTGTTGTTGGTCAAGGGGCTTGAGCTCAGGGCCTGGATGCTGTCCCTGAGCTGTTTCACTCAAGGTTAGTGATCTATCACTTTGAGCCACAGTGCCACTGATGCATGAATAAAGAAAATGTGGCAAGCACTGGTGGCTCATGCCTGTAATCCTAGCTACTCAGGAGACAGATCTGAGGATTCCAGTTCAAAGCCAACCTGAGCAGGAAAGCTCGTGAGACTCTTTTATCTACAATAAACTGGAAGAGGTACTGTGGCTCAAGTGGTAGAGCACTAGCCTTGAGCTGAAGAGTTCAGGGACAGTGCCCAAGCCCAGAGTTCAAGCCCCTTGACTGTCAAAAAAAAAACAACATTAATAATTTTCACTCATCTAGGGCTCCATTTGTAAGACATGATGCTCAGTGTGTTGCCTGTTTTATCTCTTTTGATCCTGACAACAACATGGTGATAACTTAGCTCCTATTATTTCTATTTTGCAGATGAGAAAACTGAGATTCAGAAAGGTTAAATGATTTGTTCAGGATAACACAGTAAGTGTCTGATTTTGGAACCATCACATCTTCTGACTCTTCAAGCATTTAAATATGTTGTCATTAATTTGGTGTAAGGAAATTAATATTCATTTTATTTTTGCCTTCCTCTTGGTGCCTTCTAGATTTCCTAATCATGCACCCTATCCTTGAGCCACACTTCCAGCCCCACTCTTGAAGGATGAGGTGTTTTGGGGTTTTTTTGTCTGTTGTGGGCCTTAAACTCTGAGCCTGGGTGTTGTCCCTCAGCTCTTCAGATCAAGGCTACTGCTCTACCAGTTGGAGCCACTGTGGCACTCTGTCTTTTTCTGTTTATGTGGTGCTGAGGAATCGAACCCAGGGTCTCATACATGCAAGGCAAGCACTCTACTACTGAGCCACCTTCCCAGCCCCAGGATAACGTGTTTTGAGTGTAGTAGCTGATAATTAAGTTGTTTCATTTGTCATCTAGTGACTTTGGGAGGGTGGGATAGGCTTATATGAGTTGACAATGAGCCTAAAACAGATGCAGTTTACTGTTGTGGACTATGTGCTGTTAATTTTTTCAAAGCAGGAATTTGCTCTATGTTAATTGAACATTTATTGCAAATAGGCAAATACCTTATCAACAGAACCAAAAATGTAGAATTTTTTCACACACCATGAGGGTTTGAACTCAGGGCCTTGTGTTTGCTTGGCTTTCTTACTTGGCTGGCACTCTAGTACTTGAACCATGCTTCCAACCCAGCTTTTTGCTGGTTGTTTTAGAAATACAGTGTAGTGAAGTTTTTTTTTTTTTTTTGCTGGTGGTGGGGCCTGAACTCTGGGCCTGGACACTGTCCCTCAGCTCTTCAGCTCAAGGATAGTGCTCTACCACTTGAGGCACAGCACCACTTCCAGCTTTTTCTGCTTATGTGGTGCTGAGGAATCGAACCCAGGGCCTCACGCATGCAAGGCAAGCACTCTACCACTGAGCCACCTTCCCAGCCTGTGTAGTCAACTTTTTTTTTTTCGGGGGGGGGGGGGGGGGTCCGGTCATGGGGCCTGAACTCTGGGTCTGGGCACTGTCCCTCAGCTCTTCAGCTCAAGGCTAGTGCTCTACCATTTGAGCCACAGCGCCACTTCTGGCTTTTTTCTTTTTGCTTATGTGGTGCTGAGGAATCGAACCCAGGGCCTCAGGCATGCAAGGCAAGTGCTCTACCACTGAGCCACCTTTCCAGCCCCCTGTGTAGTGAACTTTTATGCCCAAGTTGGCCTCTGGAACCTAGATTCTTTCAATCTCAGCTTCCTGAATAGCTAGTATTATAGGAGTAAGCCACTAGCACATGGCTGAAAAAAAGTAAAATAAATCCATTTATTATCCCATTGGTATAATAAATAGATTTAGAGTCTGAGTAGTGAATTTTAAAAACCTGCACCTCTAACATTCATTCTTTTGAGAGAAGAGCTCTGTTGCTTTGATGTATTCAGTAACCTAACCATAGCAAATATGACTTCACTTGGTTGGGAATGGAGATAAGGTAGCATTTTATAATGCATCTCATTCATGTTTGACCTCATTATTGGGATGTTGGATAAAAACAGATCTATAACATTAGAAAAGTTGACATCAAACTATTAAAACACATATTTTATGTTCTGGGTGGGCTGCCTTTTACTTTTTTATAACAAGGCCTTTTGATATTTTTGTAGACAATCTGCTTCATCTTGATTCAGCAGCATTCCAAACTGTGGTATCCTTGGGGTTCTCTTAACATTGCTATGGTGCAGAAGATTTAAAATCAGGTATGGCTGTGGGACCAGAAGTCCCTCAGTGAAATCCTCAACTTGAATCTTTCTTATACTCTCTTGATGTATCACTTGTGTTTCTTTTTCTCCCCTTCCTCCCCCATGGCCTTTTAGCTGATGTTCACAAGGAATAGAGTCACGTGATGTATGAAGGGAAACATATACACTTCTCTGAGGTTGACAATAAGCCCTTGTGCTCATATAGCCCCAAACTCTGCAAGCAGCGGCGTCTCAACGGCTACGCTTTCTGTATCAGACACGTTCTGGAGGACAAGACTGCCCCCTTCAAGCAATGTGAATATGTGGCGAAGTATAACAGCCAGCGCTGCACCAACCCCATCCCCAAATCAGAGGATCGCAGGTAAGAGCATTCTGGTATTAGTTATGCACTTCTCCCTCTACCCTCCTCTTCTCCCTCCCCCTTCCTTCTCTCTTTCAGTGTGGTGAATTTAATGTTGAATTCTAAGAAAGTTTGGAATAATTCTAAAGGTGAGAGATGCAATTTCTTTTTAAAAACTTTTTGTAAGCCGGGTTCCAGTGGCTCATGCCTGCAGTCCTAGCTACTTAAGATTCTGAGATCTAAGGTTTGTGGTTCAGAGCCAGCTCAAGCAGGAAAGCCTAGACTCTTATCTACAACTAGCTGCCAACTGGAGATGTACCTAGGGCTACAGTGATAGAGCTCTAGTAGACATAATCTCAGGGACAGTGCCAAAGCCCTGAGTTCAAGTCCAAGTGTGGCACGAAAAAAATTCTTTTTTAGTGTATATTAATTTTATGACATATTAATATTAATTTTATGATATTAATTTTATAAGATAGTTTCACTGTTTTCTATTGCTCTTTTTCTGTCTCCTTCACCCCCCCCCCCACCCTTTTTTTTTTTTTTTGGTCAGTTGTGGGGCTTGAACTCAAGGCTTGGGTGCTGTCCCTGAGCTTTTTCACTCAAGGCTGGCACTCTACTACTTTGAGCCACAGTACTACTTCTGGTTTTGTGGTGGTTAATTGGAGATAAGAGTCCCATGGACTTTCCTGCCTAGGATGCTGTTAAACCTTGATCTTTAAGATTTCAGCTTCCTGAGTAGCTAGCATTACAGGCTGGAGCCATCAGTACCTAGTCTATTCTAAGTTATTAATAGGCTCCATTATGCTGTTTTCATACATAAACAAAATGTACTTTAATATGGCAATTTCTTTTAAATAGAGTGGTAACCTTAAAGTATTATGTTAAAGTATGTTTAATTGTTTTCTTTTTATTTAATTTTATAGCATCCTGGGTTTTTACAAAAAAAAGTTTTTTCCTAAAAAATGCTGCTCATACCCTTGGTACTGATTTGTTTGATTTATGGCCACTTAAAATAGTTCTTGACTTCTGTTTAGTATCTGTCTAGCAAGAGAAGTCATAAATGTTAGGATTGATAATTTGTGTTTTTAAAGTTTATGCTTGAAAGCATATAAAGGATATATATTCAATTGGAAAGAATTTAAAATATTTAAATCATTTATAAGGTGCACTTTCTGACAGATGTCTTAGTGTTTAGCACTATCTTATAATCTTGCCTTGTTTGATTAAAAACAGTTCCAAATAGATTGTAATTTAGAGACTATATTTTCCCTAGAAATGTGATTTTATATTGTGTGTTTAAAGGAGGCTATAATATCCATAGGAGAAGTACTACTTTTACGTCTCATCTCTTCATGCATCTTGTTCTTTAGTTCTCCAGAAACCATATTGATCATTAGGGGACATTGCAGAGAGATGCAGGGCTGTTCCATGGCCTGCAACCATGTTCCTGTATAGAAGCACATGTCACCCGAATATATTGGCTCAAAAGATGTCATGTGTCTTTTGTCTTGATGAGCTCTTTTTTCACTTTTGTGTGAAATAAATAATTTGTTTGGTAGAGATCCCACCAAATGAGTACATTCAATATGGTGATTTGGGAGTGCTCTCTTAGAATTTCCAACTAACACTTAAGTTTCAAATGACAATACCTGAAAGTTAGAAACAGCTGCTTGATGAGGCAGAGAATAAAACTTTAATCTCAGGTGAGAAAGGGACCTGTGTATAAAGTTAAACCTATCTGTCCAGGCTAGTTGACTGTAACAGACTGAAAAATAATTTTTTTACCCTGGCCTTTTTTAAGATGAAGGATTTTACTTTCAGTCCTACTGCAACTATATCACTGTAGGGTTTTTGTTGTTGTTGTTGTTGTTGTTATTGTTTTCTTTTTAAAAAAAATTTTGCTGATACCATTGTTGAACCCAGGGTTTTCTAAGTAACCAGCTTGCTTGCTTGGCTAGAGCTCCACCAACTTGAGCCACACCTCCAGCCTGGCTTTTTGCCTGTTATTTTGAAGGAGTCTCCTAGACTTTTCTGTGTGGGCTGGCCTTGAACTTTGGTCCTCCAGATAGCTTCAAGAGTAGATAGGATTACAGATGTGAACAACCAGAGCTTGCCTGTAGTTTTATCTTAAATTGGATTTATCCACGGTTGTGGTTATCAACCTTGGATTTTTTTCATTTGAAGTAAAGCAAATATTACATATTATATAAAATTATATATTAAGTTAATATGAAGAACTGAATTTCTTTCTCAATTTCTTAAAATATTCTCTTAAGCATCTTTTTTTTTTCTTTTTTTGTTGGTCATGGGTCTTGAACTCTGGGCCTGGGTGCTGTCCCTCAGCTCTTCAGCTCAAGGCCAGTGTTCTACCATTTGAGCCACAGCGCCACTTCCAGTTTTCTGGTTGTTAATTGGAGATAAGAGTCTCATGGGCTTTCCTGCCGAGGCTGGCTTGAACTATGATCTTCAGATCTCAGCCTCCTGGGTTAGCTAGGTTACAGGTGTGAGCCACTTGGTCCTAAGCATCTATCTTATTTGTCTTTAGTAACTTCCTCGTTAGAATAAGACAGGAAAAGCAGAAGAACTTTTGTGTTTCTCATTTAATACAAACTTTCTTTTTTTGTTGTTTTTTGTTTTTTTTTGGTCCTGTCGTGGGCCTGAACTCTGAGCCTGGGCGCTGCCCCTCAGCTCTTCAGCTCAAGGCTAGTGCTCTACCACTTGAGCCACAGCGCCACTTCCGGCTTTTTTTTTTTTTTTTTTGCTTATGGGTGCTGAGGAATTGAACCCAGGGCCTCAAGCATGCAAGGCAAGCACTTTACCACTGAGCCACCTTCCCAGCCCCATTATTTAATAGAAACTTTCATAGCTACTAAATTGTCTGGGCATGGTTGTAATTCTGGCACTCTGGAGGTAGAGGCAGGAGGATTAAAAGTTCAGGTCCATGCTGGATTACATACAATAATCTATTGTTAACTGAATTTTTATAAGATTAAGAAATTTAAGGTTTTTTTTTGTTTTGTTTTGTTTTCCTGTAGGTCGTAGTTCTTGACCTCTAGGCCTGGGTGCTTTTGCTGAGCATTTCAGCTAAGTTGAGCATTCTACCACTTGAGCCACATCACCACTTCCAGTTTTCTGGCGGTTAATTGGAGATAAAGAGTCTCATGGACTTTCTAGTACTTTCCCTGGCTGGCTCTGAACTGTGATCCTCAAATCTCAGCCTCCTGAGTAGCTAGGATTACAGGCATGAGCCACCAGTGCCCAGCTCCTCTGTAGCTTTTGCTCATCATTTGGAGATAGTAGTTAAGATTTGTCTGCCTAGGATTGTTTTAAAGCTCCATACTCAGATCTCAGACTTGTAAGTAGCTAGGGTTATAGGCCAGAGCCACCAATGGCCATGCTTTCCATCTTTTTAAGATAGTTATAGAGCTGAGGAACACAGTTTGAAGCTAGCCTGGGTGGGAAAGCATCAGATGCTTAACTCCAGTTAACTACCAAAAAGGAATGCCTCAAGTGGTAAGAGACAGTACCCAGGCAAATAAATTAGTCAATCATTAAATCAATCAGTCAATAAAGTGGTATGCTTAATGGAAGGACTGGCAAAATCCATTTTTTATGTTCTTGTGCAAAAAAGTATATGAGCCTTCTCTTGCTATATAGATCAAGCTGGCTTCAGACTTGCTGTGAAGCCTGCCTAGACTCTTGGGCTGAGATATTGCAGGTGTGTGCCATCATGCTTCCTGTATAATACCATTTGATATTTAAGTTTGCTGTGATTATGCATGTATATGTCCACACACACACACACACAGTTAATAGTGTATATCTGCCAAGAAATTTTCTTGTTTCCTACATTCTTTTTTTTTTAAAGCATCTTGAGGTATGATTCACATACCATATAACTAATCCCTTTAAAGCATATCATCTGGTATTATTACTTTTTTTACTGTTTCACAAAATTATGCAGTCCTCACCACAATCTAATTTTAGAATATTTTCATCCTTCCTAGTGAAACCCTGTACTTATCTAGCAGTTATTCTATCTGTCGATCGATAGATCGATCGGTTGTGGGCTTGAACTCTGGGCCTGCGTACTGTCCCTCAGCTCTTTATAAAGCTTAAGGCTAGCGCTCTACCAATTAAGCCACAATGCCACTTCTGGTTTTCTGGTGGTTTATTGGAGATTAGAGTCTTACAGACTTTTCCTGACCAGGTTGGTTTTGAATCTTGATCTTCAGATCTCAGCCTCCTGAGTAGCTAGGATTACAGGCATGAGCCACCAGTGCCCAATTCTATAGTTGTTTTTTTAGAGTAGAAATGCACATTTTTGTATATAGAAGGGTTTTTTTGTTGTTTGTTTGTTTTTTGTCAATCTTGGGGCCTGAACTCTGGGCTTGGGCAGTATCCCTCAGCTCTTCAGCGGCACCACTGCTGGCTTTTTCTGCTTATGTGGTGTGGTGCTGAGGAATCAACCCCAGGGCCTCATGCAAGCGAGGCAAGCACTCTACACTGAGCCACCTTCCCAGCCCTGGTATATGTATTTTAAATGCTGTTAATAAGCCATCAGAATATAGTTATGAAGAACTTTCCTATTAGAAGTAATGTCTTGTCTCATCTCATCTTGTCTCATTTTTCTTTTTTGGTTTTTGAGATAGTTTCACTCTGTAGTACAGTGTGGTCTAGAATCTACTATGTAGCCTAGGTTGCTCTTAAATTTGTTATTCCTTCTGCATTAGCCTCTAGAGAGGAGTGCTGGGATTATAGGTTTGTCCTACCATGCCAACAGAAAGAAGCTTTTAGGAATTGAGACAACATATTGTGCTTTGCTGATTCAGTGACTAAAGAGGTGAGGGAGAGCTGCATATACAAATCAGCCTGCTGCCTTGCAGACAAGCTTGATTTCTAAATTAAAAACATGAAGCCACACTTTTTCCTACTAAGGAAACAAATTCTTTTTTTTACTTAAAAAATTAGGGAGGGGTGGCACTGTGGCTCAAGTGGTAGAGCCCTTGCTTTGAGCTGAATAGCTGAGGCCCAGAGTTCAAGCCCCACAACTAACAAAAGAGAAAAGGAAAAGAGAAAATTAGGGAGGGGATGACACTGTTCAAAAGGAAGTATACGCATTACCTCAATCATGTAACTATATCCCCTCTCTCTCTACAACTTTTACAATAACATTTTTTAAAAAAGAAAGAAAAGTTGGGCTGGGAATGTGGCTTAGACTTAGAGTACTTGCTAGCATGCATGAAGCCCTGGGTTCAATTCCTCAGTACCATATAAACAGAAAAGGCTGGAAGTAGTGCTGTGGCTCAATTAGAGTGCTAACCTAGAGAAAAAAAGCTCAGGGACAGTACCCTGACCCTGAGTTCAAGTCCCAGGACTGGCAAAAGAAGAAAAAAAGCAAGAAATAAGGAAGAAAGGAAAGAAAGAAAGAAAAAAAGAGAAGGAAGGAAAGAAAGAAAGACATTAAGAAGTTAAAAGCAATAGCAAAAATACTTATTTTTTGGCATACTAGGGACTGAACCTAGGCCTCACACATGGTAGGCAAGTGCTACCCCATTGAGCTACATCTCCAGCCATTTTAAATTTCATTTTCTGACAGCATCTTGCTAACTCACCTAGGCTGGCCATCTTCGGTCAGTCTTCCTGCCTCAGCTTTTACCAGTAGCTGGGACTATCGTCCTGTATCATCAGACTTGGCTGTTTTTTGTTTTGTTTTATTATTTTGCTGGTTCAGGGATTTGAACTGAGCATTGTTGCTCAGCCTGCTTGCTTACAGCCAGCAAACTACCATTGGAGCTGTGCTCCTGTTACAGCTTTTGGCTGGTTATTTGGAATCACATCTTGGATTTAATTATGTTTTACTGGTTAAGCAGAGGTAGAATCAGGCTTTTATGCTCACCTCTATTTACTCTTTATTATTGTTAATTTGTTGGAAAGTCTAGTTATTACCAATATCCCATTCCTTAGTGTATGAGACCTAGCTCAAAACTGCTAGATATGGTCTGCAGATGTCAATTGTGTGCTACAGTAATAGTGTCTGTTTTCAGATAACTTAGGGAAACACTGACAGGGGAACTTCATAATGCACATTATCTTCAAAAATGCTTCAAGTTTTTCAGCAGAAACAAGCAAAAAACAAAATTATGACATAGTTTTGCTGAGGCAGAATTTCCCAAGTTTATTGAAGCACTTTGTACTGTTTTTCTGGCATTCTTGTTATCCTGTGGAACAGAATGAAGGAAGAGCCTGAGTTTGGAGACTCTTCTATTGGTGAAAAACCTCCACAGATTTCACTGTGGTTAATTGGCATACCGGATATTCTTGCTCTGTGAGAAAACACTAGCCTTTTTTCTTTTTTCTTTTTTTTGTCGGTCATGGGGCTTGAACTCTGGGCTTGGGTGCTGTCCCTGTGCTCTTCAGCTCAAAGCTAGCGCTCTACCACTTCAGCCACAGCGCCACTTCCAACACTCGCCTTTTATAAGAGCCTTCACATTGCAAAGAGCTTTGATTTTTTTTTGTTTTTTTTTTTTTATACCAGTCTCAGCCAATTCTGTCACTTTGCACATCAACAATGTTTGGGCAGGTTCTATTTTGTAGAACAGTTTTCTTATCTGATAAAGGGCATAATTTCAGCACTATTCCATGCTGGTACTGGATGAGATAGTCCATGTCTTTGTATCTCAGGTTGTTGAGAAACTCATTCCATTTAGAGTTCTTCTCATCAGGTTTATTCTTTTACTTTCTCCTTCCATTCTGCCTGTAACACTCTTGTGTATGGAGCATACTGTAGATACTTGATATTACTTAAGGTTATATGATAAGATCTTTGAATCTCCTAAAGGAATATACATTTTCCCATGAATTATACTTTTTTCGTAGGTTAAACCAGCCAGTTTATTGAATAATATGTGTAAAACTTTTACCATGCAGGGCTGGGAAGGTGGCTCAGTGGTAGAGTGCTTGCCTTGCATGCATGAGGCCCTGGGTTCGATTCCTCAGCACCACATAAGTAAAAAGAAAAAAGCCGGAACTGGCACTGTGGCTCAAGTGGTAGCGCGCTAGCCTTGAGCTGAAGAGCTGAGGGACAATGGCCAGGCCCAGAGTTCAGGCCGGACCTCCCCCCCCCCCCCCCCCCAAAAAAAAAAAGAAAAGAACACTTTTACCATGCAGACTGAAGCATCTATGTCAGCTCAGCATGAAGAGCACATTTTCTTCCTTAAGGCAATTACATGGAGAACCAGGTTGAATGAGGTTATATAACAAGTGTGGGGGAAGTGGCGCTGTAGCTCAAGTGGTAGAGCGTTCGCCTTGAGTTGAAGAGCTGAGGGACAACGCCCAGGCCCAGAGTTCAAGACCCACGACCGACAAAAAAAAAAAAAAAAAAACAAGTGTGGAAGCCGGGAGCCAGTGGCTTATGCCTGTAATCCTAGCTACTCAGGAGGCTGAGATCTGAGGGTCACAGTTTCAAAGCCAAAGTCTGTAAAACTCTTTTTTTTTTTTTTTTTGGTTGGTCGTGGGGCTTGAACTCTGGGCTTGGGCGCTATCCCTCAGCTCTTCAGCTCAAGGCGAGCGCTCTACCTCTTGAGCCACAGCGCCGGTTTCCTAGTGGTTTATTAGAGATAAGAGTCTCACCGACTTTCCTTGCCTGGGCTGGCTTTGAACGGTGATCCTCAGATCTCAGTCGCCTGAGTAGCTAGGATTACAGGCGTGAGCCACCGGTGCCCAGCTCCGTGAAATTCTTTATCTCCAACAAACCACTGGAAAACCAGAAGTGGTGCTGTAGCTCAAGTGGTACAACGCTAGCCTTGAGCTGAAGAGCTGAGGGATAGCGCTCAGGTCCACAGTTCAAACCCTATGCCCGACAAAAAAAAAAGTGTGGAATCCAAACTAGGGGAAGCTATTTTTTGTTGTTGTTTGTTTTGTTTTTTGTTTTTTGTTTTGTGGTCGTAGGGCTTGGATGCTGCCCTGGAGCTTTTTTTGCTCAGGGCTAGCACTCTGCCACTTGAGCCACAGGTCCACTTCTGGCATTTGAGGGATGGTTAAATTGACTGACTTTCCTGCCTGAACTGGCTTTAAACTAGGATCTTTAGATCTCAGCCCCCTGAGTAGCTAGGATTACAGGTATGAGCCACCAGCACCTGGCACTGATAGGAATTTTAAGTGATGCTTCAGCCCTTGATGAGCTAACTTTGTGTGCTATGCGTGAATGGAGAATAGTCACGTGATGGAAAACAACAGTGAAACCATTGTCTAGGACCTCTGGCCCTGACTGGCTTCTCAGGTCCTACATTTGCCTCCGCAAAATTACACAGACTTGGGATTACTTCAGAGTAATGAAAGTTTCCTGAGTGTGTACCACCATGCCCAGCATGGAAGTTGCATGCAGAATTAACCAATGCCAAGAATTACTAAGACACTACTGAATATTGAACCTTAAGGTTCTGAGTACTTGGTAGATAAGTGCTCTACACAGGTCAATTTTTAGTGTATTAGGATTTGTGTTTTACAGTTTGTACTGACTGTTCATGTATGTGTGTACTTTTACAGGTACTGCAACAGCCATCTGCAGGTACTTGGCTTTATCCCGAAAAAAGAGAGGAAGAAAAAGAGTGACCCTATAGATGAGGTGAAGGTCAGGCACCCGGTGGACACCATGGCCTTTAGCCTGACAGTGCCCACATTGGCCTTGAAGATGCCCAATGGACTGGATGGCATGTCCCTCTCTCCACCTGGGGCAAGGGTTCCTCTCCACTACCTGGAAACAGAGCTGGAAGACCCCTTTGCTTTCAACGAGGAAGATGACGACCTAAAGAAAGGGGCAACTGTCAGAAAGAAGTTGCAGAGCAAGCTGGCCCAGAATCGGCAGCGCCAGAGAGAGACCGAGATTTTGAAAGTTCGGCAAGAGCACTTTAGTCCCCCTCCTGCACCTTCCCGGCAGCCTCTCCAGCACTCCCGCCCGTCACCTTCCTCGACTTCTTTAAAACCTCCAGCGCCACTGCAGGGTTCAGTCTGCAAGTCACCTCAACCTCAGAACACCAGCCTACCACTGCAGGGAGTGGCCCCCACCACACACACTATAGCACAAGCAAGGCAGTTGACTCACAAGAGGCCTCTGCCCCTCCTGCCATCCAGTAGGGCTCCTGGCACTGATCCACCCAGGACTGACCGGGTCCTCATGAAAGCCACCACCTTCTCTCCACACTTCTCCTGTATAAGTCAGCTGCAGAGGTTGGTGAAACTGTGCACTCAGAAACATCAGTTGGACACTGATCTGTTTCCCCATTTAGGTGAGTTATCATTTGTTCATTCTACGTGGTACAGTGTGGAATGTGTTCTGTCACGTGACATTTTACTTTCACCACTACCATCTACCTACTTGCTATAGTAGGATGTCTGTAAAAAGTATGGCGCAAGAGTATTTATGTCTCTTTTTTTTTTTGGTCCTGGGGCCTGAACTCTGGGCTTGGGCACTATCCTCAGCTCTTCAGCTCAAGGCTAGCGTTCTACCACTTGACCACAGCATCACTTCCGGCTTTTTTTCCCCTGCTTATGTGGTGCTGAGGACTCGAACCCAGGGCCTCATGCATGCAAGGCAAGCGCTCTACCACTGAGCCACCATCCCAGCCCCCACTGTTAGCTTTTGTTAGTAGTAATAGGTTGCGCTGTGGCTCAAGCGGTAGAGTGCTCACCTTGAGCTGAAGAGCTAAGGGACAGCGCCCAAGCCCAGAGTTCAAGCCCCATGACCGACCAAAAAAAAAAATCTCAAGTCAAGCACCTGTAATCCTAGCTATTCAGAAGGCCAAGTTCTGAGGATCAAAGTTCAAAGCCAGCAGGAAAGTCTGTGAGGCTCTTATCTCCGATTAATCACCATAGAGCCATAAGTGCGGCTGTGGCTCAAGTGGTAGAACACTTGGTTTGAGCACAAAAGCTCAGAGACAATGCCCAGGACTGAGTTAAAGACCCAGGATTCCTACCAAAAAAAGTAAGTAAGTAAATAAATAAATAAATAACAATTTCTCAAGGCAACTTCTGTTCATGATTGAAGACCAAGAAAAAAAATACAGATAAATGTTTCAATGTAATCATACATCTTTCTTTCTTATGTTGCTTCTGAATCCCAAATTTATCCTCTTGAGTTTCTATATTTGCTATTAATCTTTGGGGGTGGGGGGGGGCACGTGCCTAGGATCTTGTTATGTAGCCCAGGCTGGCATCACATTTGTGTTCGCCTTTGAGTGCTTGATTATAGGCATTACAACTATGCCCAGCTTGTTTTGGTTTTGATCACTTAAATTGTTAATTCATTTAAAGGTTATTTATGATGTGATTTGATATTAGCTATGTTTCTTCTCTCAGGGAGGTGTGTGTATATGTGTGTTTTTCATGTACACACATATGTGCATGCTCACCAGTACTAAGCTTGAACTCAGAGTCTCAAGCTTTCAAGGCCTCTAACTTGGATTTTTTTACTAAGGCTGGCATTCTACCACTGAAGCCACTGCTTTTTGCTTTTTGTTTTTCTACCACTGCTTTTTGCTTTCATTGAACTTTTTTCATTGAACTTTTTGCTTCAGACCTTGAGGGTTATAGGAGTGAGCCACCAGTGTTGGACTTAGAAACAATTATTTACATGCAAGATGCATATACTTACATGCATGATAATACAAGCAAAGCATATCAACAGTAGTAACTGGACAATAACAATGCAAATCTCGGTATAGACAACAGGAAATAGCAATGAAAACAACAGTAAGTTGCTAGATTGGTTAAAATTATATGCACTATTGGAGAAGTTATATTTCGTACAATGCTGTTTAGTAGGTAGCAGTCTCTTTCACACTCACACAGTCTGCAAACAAACTTTATTTTTCTTTTACATGTTTTATAAAGTAGTATATAGCTATTAGGAAGAATGAATGAAAGCCAGGCGCTGGCTCACACCTGTAATCCTAGCCACTCAGGAGGCTGAGATCTGAGGATCACAGTTCAAAGCCAGCCTGGGCGGGAAAGTCCATGAGACTCTTATCTCCAATTAACCACCAGAAAACCAGAAGTGGTGCTGTGGCTCAAGTGGTAGAGCACTCACCTTGAGCTGAGGAGCTGAGGATCAGCGCCCAGATTTAGAGTTCAAGCCCCATGACCAACAAAAAAAGAAAGAAATCTTTTGGCTTAAATGTGCTCATGATTTAACAGGTAGGAAAATCAAAAGGTATTATCAATTTTTTCTTTTTTTTTTCTGGTCCTGGGCACTTCCTGAAATTCTTTTTCTCAAGGCTAGCAATGTACCACATGGGCCACTTCTGGCTTTTTCTATGTACTTTATTAGAGATAAGAGTCTAACATGTAAACCTAACATAACACATGGTCATATTGGTCACAATCTATTAGAATAACTCAAAAATAATTCTCAGGTGGGGGGAGGGGGGGAGATAGGAGGACACGGATGGTAAGGGGAGAAACAAAGGAGGAGGCAACAATGCTTGATAAGAAATGTACTCATTACCTTGCTCATGTAATTGTAACCTTGCTCTGTACAGTATTTTCACAATAAAAAGCTTATTAATTAAGATAATAATAATTTTTAAAAAAAGAGTCTAACGGACTTTATGGCCTAGGCTCTCTTCGAACTGTGATCCTTAGAGCTCAGCTTTCTAAGTAGCTAGGATTACAGTATAAGCTGCCCTCACCCTGTTGTATTGTAAATTTTAAATGATCAGAACCTCTGCATAATTGATTACTTATGTGGGTGAACTTTGCTTGTAACTGAGTATCAGAGTAGACATAAGGGATATAACTATCAGTGAGAATGGAATTAAAGACAGAGGATGTGTTTTATATTTTTTTCGCCTACTGTGAAGCTGTTTGACTTTTGACAATTTATTTTTTCTTTTTTTTGTCAGTTGTGGGGCTTGAACTCTGGGCCTGAGTGCTGTCCCTGAGCTCTTCAGCTCAAGGTGAGCGCTCTACCACTTGAGCCACAGTGCCACTTCTGGTTTTCTGGTGGTTAACTGAAGATAACAGTCTCATGGACTTTTCCTGCCCAGGCTGCCTTCGGCTGCCTTTGAACCGCAATCCTTAGCTCTCAGCCTCCTGAGTAGCTAGGATTATAGGTGTGAGCCACCAGTGCCTGGCTTCTTTTAGCAATTTTTAAAAGTTAATAAAAAAATTTAAAAAAGATAAGTAACTATAAGATTATTAACCATAGTATGTACTAATTTATTCATACCTTGGTGTACTTCTTTTCAAAGACATAAAATTGACTTCCAATTATACATGCTGATTTGTTACCTGTTCAAAATTTTTATAGTGATGTATTTTCAAGGTAATAATTAGTTTCATATGCAGCTTATTTTTTCATGGCTGAATTCAGCCTCTAATTTGTCATTTTTTATTTCTATCATTATAAATTGTTGCAGATACATAGCCTTGCAGCAAAGTAAATTACTGTCTCATCTTTAATTGTTTTTCTTCAAGTAGATAATTAGAAGTGGAATTGCCAATTTCAAGCCTTTGCTTTTTTTATTTGATTATTTTTTGTAGTGCTGGGAAAATCAGGCCTTACCTGTGATATGTAAGTTTTCTACCATTGAGCTACAGATCCCAGCACCCTTGGCTTTTTTTTTTTTGGAGGCAGTTTTATTTTATAGCCCACAGTCGTCTTGAACTTTTTTTGTTTATTTTTTTGTCAGTTGTGAGGCTTGAACTCAGGGCCTATGTGCTGTTCACTTTGAGCCACAGCATCACTTCTGGTTTTTTAGGTGGTTAATTGGAGGTAGGTGTCTCACAGGGACTTTTCTTTCCTTTTTCTCTTTTTGCTCAGTTTGAAGCCAGCTTGGGCTGGCTCTGAGACTCTTATTTCCAGTTAACCAAAAAAATGGAAGTGGCACTGTCGCTCAAGTAGGAGAGCACTAGCCTTGAGCACAGAGAGGCTCAACGACAGAGCCCAAATCTTAAGTTTAAGCCCTGGGATCAGCAGGGAAAAAAAGTGATTGATGGGGCTGGGAAGGTGGCTCAGTGGTAGAGTGCTTGTCTTGCATGCATGAGGCCCTGGGTTCGATTCCTCAGCACCACATAAGCAGAAAAGGCCAAAAGTGGCACTGTGTGGTAGAGTGCTAGCCTTGAACTGAAGAGCTGAGGGACGGGGCCCAGGCCCAGAGTTCAGGCCCCAGCTATGAGCACTGGTGCCTGGCTGATTTTTTTATTTTTTATTTTTTTGTTCGGTTGTAGGGCTTGAACTTAGGGCCTGAGCGCTGTCCCTCACTTTAGCTCAAGGCTAGCGGTCTGCCATTTGAGCTACAGTGCCACTTCCCTATTTTTCTGTTTGTGTGGTGCTGAGGAATCAAACCCAGGGCCTCATGCACGCGAAGCAAGCACTCTACCACTGAGTCACATTCCCGGCCCTGATTTTTTTTTTTAACCATTTTTCCAACAAATGAAAAACTTGGGAGAAAACCCATTCAGTTTTTGTTTGAGTCAGGATTTTCTTCTGAAGCCAAGGCTATCCTTACATGTTCTTTCTTTTCTTTCTTTTTTCTTTGGGGTGTCTAAGGTTTGGAACCCACACCTCCAGCCTGCTTGTTATAACAGCAAGCCCTCTGCTAACTTAATTCCAGCCCTGACCCCAGCCTTTGATCTTGAACTCTCAATTCTTCAACGTCAGTTACCACACCTTGTTATTTTATTTTTTTAATCAAAATGTATTAGCTACCAAGGTTATTTTTGAGAACTCAGGAATTGAAATGCACTCTTGGGACTAAGCATATTCACACAAAGATTATTTAAAAGAAACATTCAGTCTAGAAATTATTTGTGGGAGTCCTATCTGAGCTGGTCATCTCAGTTACTTACATTAGAATTGGTGATAATGAAGTTGAGATCAGAGGTTTGTGTGGTTGGGCAATTAATTTCATAGTATGAGAAATGTTTCCATCTTAGTTCTTCTAACTTAGAGCTTGACATGTTCAGAGGAAGTACAAGTGTCTTAATAGAAATTATTTCTACAAAATAATTAAGGTAATTTATGTCATTTTAAAGGTAACCTGAGTATCATTTTGAAGTACCTCACTTTCAACATATTGTTATTGTGACGGACCAGTTTGTTTCTTGCTTTTTTTCCTCTCTATATAAATTTTTACTTTGAGAAAAGGTATTCACTTTTTAAGGTGACCTGACACTATTTGAAGTTTTCTTATGCCAATGGTAATATGTAATTTACGCATTTACAACTTACATTTCAATTAACCTTTCTTAATTTTGTCATTTGGCACATGTAAACTCATTTAAATCTTGGAAGAAATCTATGTGTTTCATTTAAATATAATTCTGTCTAATGAAGATGGTCTTTAGGTTTTTGAGGCTTTCAGGACGGAAGATATAAATAAAATGGTATTATCAAAGAGTATCAAGTTTTATGTGATATTAAAGCTTATGCTAAATTTATGTGGTCTCACATGCTGTTATATTTTCTATTCAAGATTCTGTGTCACATCTGCTTATGATCATCTTTTCGGGACATAAACTTTTTTTTTCCCTTGTGCTTGCTTTGTTTGTTTGCTAGGATGACCTTCTACCATTTGACCCATGCCTCTTGGTGTTTTGTGTGTGTGTGTGTACGTGTGTGTACGCGTGTGTACGCACGCGCATGCCAGTTCTAGAGCTTAAACTATATCCTGGGCACTGACCCTGAGCCTTTTTGCTCAAGGCCAGTGCTCTACCATTTGAGTCACAGCTCCACTTTCAACTTTTTGGTGATTAATTGGAGATAAAAGTATACAGATTTTCCTGCATAGAGCACAAGCCTTGAGCAAAAGAGCTCAGGGTCAGTGCCTAGGCCCCACAACTGACCCCCTCCCCCCACACACATACAAAGAAAAAGTTTAATGAACTAATTAGTGTTTATATTATATTTCTACACTTTCCCCTCTAATTTTGTTTTTGGAAAATGGAGTACAAAATGTTGTAGGTTTTCCTTAAAAGAATTACCATTATGCACTGGGCGCTGGTGGCTCATGCCTGTAATCCTAGTTATTCAGGAGGCTGAGATCTGAGGATCACAGTTCAAAGCCAGCCTGGGCAGGAAAGTCTGTGAGAAAGAGGGGCTGGGAAGGTGGCTCAGTGGTAGAGCACTTGCCTTGCATGCCTGAGGCCCTGGGTTCGATTCCTCAGCACCATGTAAGCAAAAAAAAAAAAAAAAAAGCCGGAAGTGGCGCTGTCGCTCAAGTGGTAGAGCGCTAGCCTTGAGCTGAAGAGCTGAGGGACAGTGTCCAGGCCCAGAGTTCAGGCCCCACGACCGGACCCAAAAAAAAAAAAAAAAAAAAAAGAATTAACATTATGCTAGCTGGGTGCCAGTGGCTCACCCTTGTAATATTAACTACTCAGGAGGCTGAAATCTGAGGATTGAGGCTCGAAGCCAGCCTGGGCAGAAAAGTCCCCATGAGACTCCAATCTCCAATAAACTTCTCAGAAAAGCCGAAATTGTCTCTGTGGCTCAAGTAGTAGAATGCTAGCCTTGAGCACAAAGAGGCCCAGGGACAGCGCCTAGACCCTGAGTTCAAGCCCCAGGACCAGTCCCCCCCAAAAAAATTAACATTGATCTCAAACCTCATTAGCAATTGAAATTGCTATCCTGTCCCACTTCCCCTTCCTAAAGTACTCTACCACTTACCTACACCTCCAGTCTGAACATTCCTTTATTTGTCCTGCACTCTTTGCTTGTGTTGTTTGCATTCTGTTAGTAAAGAGTCTGACAAAAGGTCATCCTTAGAATGTAGCATAGTCTTATTGTACAATGTAGTCTGTTTTAAATCTGAGTGTATGGTGTACATTACCTTTGCGAGAGTTGAAAAGAGACTCCTTGGAAGGCATTTCTTCACAGGCTATGATAGTACTTGCTGTGAGTGGTGGATCAGGTATCTTGAGTAGCTTTTCATGGTAAATTTTTCCTAACTTACAATATCCCTTGTGTGCTGCAGGGTTGGACTGGTCTGAAGAAAGCGGAGAGGAGCAGGAGGACTCAGAGCAGGCCTCACCATACCAGGTTGCATGGTCCATTCGAGAAACCCTGAGATATGAAAGACACATGTAAGCCTTTTTTGTTTTTATCTTTAAATCTGTAGTAGATTACCTTTTTCCCTATTGGTGTTATGTTTTTATTTTTGTAGATCAATTTTTTGTAAGGAAAGTGAAGTAGGTTCTATTTGTGAATATATGGACCATGTTTGAACAAAGCAGAAATATTCTTAAGTTTTCTTGGTCCATTTGTTGTATACCTTTTCCATTCATCACTGAAGAACCCAATTGTAACAACTGAGAGTTGAAAGGACATTAAAGATAAGCTGGTACCATTTCCTTATCTTATAAGAGGGAAATGCAGACTCAGCCAGAGCTAGAACTCTACCCCTTGAGCCACAGCTACTTCTGGCTTTTTTTTTTTTTGGTGGTTAATTGGAGTTAAGAGTCTCAATGACTTTCTTGCCTGGTCTGGCTTCAAACTGCAGTCCTTAGATCTCAGCCTCAGAATGAGCCAGCTGCACCTAGTGGAAATAATGCTTTTTACTTCACATGTCTTTGTCCAATCGGGTCCATCCTCTCTGTGTGTGTGTGTGTGTGTGTGTGTGTGTGTGTGTGTGTGTGTGTGTGTGTGTGTGTGTGTGTGTGTGTGTGTGTGTGTGTGTGTGTGTGTGTGTGTGTGTGTGTGTGTGTGTGTGTGTGTGTGTGTGTGTGTGTGTGTAGTGGAAATAATGCTTTTTACTTCACATGTCTTTGTCCAATCGGGTCCATTCTCTGTGTGTGTATGTGTGTGTGTGTGTGTTTGAAGGTAAAAAATTTTTTCTTTTTGTGCCTGGTGTGTGTGTGTGTGTGTGTGTGTGTGTGTGTTTGAAGGTAAAAAATTTTTTCTTTTTGTGCCTGGGTGCTGTCCCTCAGCTATTTTTGCTCAAGGCTGTATCCCTCTTGAGCCACAATCCACTTATCCACTTCCACCTTTTTTGGTGGTTAATTGGAAATTAGAGTCTTATGGATTTTCCTGTCTTAGCTGGCTCTCAGCCTCCTTAGTAGCTGGGATTACAAGTATAAGAGACACCACTGCTCAGCTGATTGTTCATTTTTTTCCCTCCCTCCTTCTCTTCATACCTCCCTCCCTCCCTCCCTCCCTCCCTCCTTCCCTCCCTCCCTCCCTTCCTTCCTTCCTTCCTTCCTTCCTTCCTTCCTTCGTTCTAGTTTTGTAGCTCAGGCTGCTTCCCAAGTGTTATGATTACAGTTGTACACATGTGTGATTTCAGACCATGATTCCAGGTTTGATCTGCCTATCGACCATTTCTCACCAAATATTGTCTATATACCTTGAATTCTAAAATTAAACTATTTAACATGTAGTTAATCTTTCTGATTCCACTATTTTATGAAAAGTGTTGCTGTTTGGTTTTCTTATTAAATTAAATTGAAAATGAGTTTTATTTGGAGAATTTCATGCCATGCCTTGAGATATAGATAAACCTGGGGTCTTAGATAACAAGTTTAGGATGTGTTGCACTGTATTTGGAATTATCAATAATTTTTACTGCTAATAACACCTACATATCATTTCATTCTCTTTCTTTAGAATCTAGGAAGAAAGTCAGCTTTGTTTCTCATGTTACAGATGATGAAAGTTAAAGGAGAAAACTAGTACATACTGAGATGCACTTGTCACAGATGAGGAAAGTTAAAGAAGAAAATTAGTACATACTGAGATGCACTAAGGGTCATGACCAGTGTTGCCGAGAGGAAATAAGCCAAAACTAGCCTTTCTGTTCCTGGTCACTGCTCTTCCTTAGCAACCAAGTCTGAAAAGATAATGTCACAGGTTGTAGTTAGAAGTAAGAAGCATTAAGTCGTACTGGTGGTTCATGCCTATAATCCTAACTACTCAAGAGGCTGAGATCTTAGGATCAAAGTTCAAAGCCAGCCCAGGCAGGAAAGTCCTTGAGATTCTAATTAACTACCAGAGATTCTAATTAACTACCAGAAAACCGGAAGTGGCACTGTGACTCAAAGTGGTAGAGCACTAGTCTTGAGTGAAAAAGTTCAGGGACAGCACCCAGGCTCTGGGTTCAAGCCCCATGACTGGGAAAAAAGTGCGAAGAAGTTTGCAGATTTTCTGTATTAGGTTCATGTCAGTAATGTCTGTGGTCCAGGCCAGCATGCATTCATTTTGCTGTCAGTCTGACAGCATTTGAATTATGAATAAACTTCAGAAACTTTTTTTTTTTTTTTGGGTCCGGTCGTGGGGCCTGAACTCTGGGCCTGAGCGCTGTCCCTCAGGTCTTCAGCTCAAGGCTAGTGCTCTACCACTTGAGCCACAGCGCCACTTCCGGCTTTTTTTCTTTTTGCTTATGTGGTGTTGAGGAATCGAACCCAGGGCCTCAGGCATGCAAGGCAAGCGCTCTACCACTGAGCCAACTTCCCAGCCCAAACTTCAGAAACTTTTATAACCTGCATCTACTATGTTCTTTCACAGTTAGCTTGGGACGCACTGATATAGTCCCTCCTCTCTAAAGCAGAATCTTTCCAATTACAGTTTTGACCTGTGATTATCTCCCCTGTGATTATCTTTTATTTTCCCTGTCATCCTCCCCTCTCCTTTCCACTGACTATTACCTCATCATCCTAGTTATGCAGCTACAGGGCCATGGAGTCATTTAATCATCTTATCCTTTCGATCCACTTGCCAAATAGAGTTAATTCTTTCATGATAATGGCCCTTCTATGTATTACCCCTTCTGTTATCTCTGTGACTTCTTAAACACTCCACTGCTGTTCATTTGTTTGTTCTTAACCCTGAAATGTTTATATCTCCCCTAAGTAGGCTTCAGTTTATCATTTCCAACAGTTTATTTAGACAGTACCGTTTGGCACTGGGGTACAGCTCGGGTAGAGTGCCTATGGAGCATGTGCGGGTTCTGGGGGGTGGGATGCCTTGTTTGTAAATGGTGTTGCTGTCTATGCCTAGTCTCTGCTAAGCAGTTATTGCCCCTTCCACTTCCTCAACTGACAAAGTTTGTATTTTATACATGCTCATTATGTCTCATATTTTCCATTCCTGCTGCTTTTCCCAGCATGAGTGTATATTATCTCTTACCTGGAACTTTCTAATAGTTTTCTAACTATTTTCTTTAGCCTAGTGTTGATTCTGTAATTTGCTGACTATAATTTTCACATGTAAACTACTAGTCGTTTTGTTTTGTTTTTGGTTTTGTTTTGTTTTATTTTGTTTGTCGGTCATGGGGCCTGAACTCTGGACCTGGGCACTGTCCTCAGCTCTTCAGCTCAAGGCTAGTGCTCTACCACTTGAGCCACACCATCACTTCCAGGTTTGTCTGTTTATGTGGTGCTGAGGAATCGAACCCAGGGCCTCATGCATGCAAGGCAAGCACTCTACCACTGAGACACCTTCTCAGCCCTTATCTTGTTTATTAAAGGTATTTATAGTGCTTAACTGGAATTACTGGAACTCCCAAGTGTAAACCATTCCCATGCCCCACCTACCTAACAGAGATTCTGGTTCAGTAGGTCTAAGGTGGGTCCTAGTGTTCATAGGCATTTCTAGTTTGTGTCCAGATAATTTAATCATCAGTCTCTCTGTATACACTTAGTCATTGATTTTGTTCTCTTTTGAATAGTTTAGGAATGTGTTTTATCTATCTAAATTACATTGCAATTTAAAACTTCGTAACTGCTTTGAATATATTAACAATTCGAAACAAGAGCTTTGTACCTGTTTCTGGAAGAGATTCTGAACAGTTTGCAGTCTGCTGGAAGAAAGAGGGACCAGTCAATAATTTATAGAAGATTAATGAGAGAATATGTAGTCTGTGGTGTTATAATTGTGGTATTTATATGTTACAGTAGAAAGGAAGGAAGAAAATATTGTTAGCTTTCAAGTTATGTGCGTTAGGGGCTGGGAAGGTGGCTCTGTGGTAGAGCGCTTGCCTTGCATGCCTGAGGCCCTGGGTTCCATTCCTCAGCACCACATAAGCAAACAGAAAAAAGCCGGAAGTGGCACTGTGGCTCAAGTGGTAGAGTGCTAGCCTTGAGCTGAAGAGCTGAGGGACAGTGCCCAGGCCCAGAGTTCAGGCCCCACGACCGGACCCAAAAAAAAAAAAAAAAATTATGTGCATTATTCCTAACAGAATAATAAGATGTAAATAAAACCTTATTCCTAACAATAAATGTGATTCTTAATGGACATTTTAACCTTGGTGATGATAGAAAATGCTCACTAATCATAGATAGCATCCTCTGCACACAGCACTTGTAACTGCCCATTGCCAAAATGCTGTTTCAGAGGTCACTAATTCAACAATTGGCAGAATTAATGTAAACCCTACAAAGTGCTTAACAAGAAAAGTGTAGTTAAAAACCAGAATGTGAAGAGGACAGCTGTTAGTTTGATGCTGTCAGAATTCACTGCTCTATATATAGCCTGTGCATTATGAAAAGATGTGTTTTCTCACAATTGTCATTTACTCAGTTTTTAATAAGGGTAAATAAAAGATTTTTCTCTCCACGAGTCTAGGCACATTTAAAGTTTAGAAGACTATGGTACATTGAGTCTCTAATAGTGACATACTTAGAACGCTAAGCTAAAAACACTGCTGCCTTGCTTTCAGTTGAAATACTGTGCTTATTTTCAGCTCTATTATAATCTCCACTGGTTTTCTTAAGTGTGTACTCACATGCTGCAAAAATTTTAAACCTGTGCATCCAACCACCTTCTTCATCCTCATTTTCCATTTCTGTTTTATTTGTTTGGTTTTTTTATTGGTCATGGGGCTTAAACTCTAGGCTTGGGCGCTATCCCTCAGCTCATCAGCTCAAGGCGAGCACTCTACCGCTTGAGCCACAGCACCACTTTCCCATTTCTAGAGCTTCACCTGTAATCAGTTTTCACCCCTCTCCTTGTACTTTCAGGTCGGATGATGATGATGCGGACAGTAGGAGCTCCAGGGTGACCCAACTTTGCACTTACTTTCAGCAGAAATACAAGCACCTCTGCCGCTTGGAGCGGGCAGAGTCTCGTCAGAAGAAATGCCGGCATACATTTAGGAAAGCGTTGCTGCAGGCAGCCAGTAAGGAGCCTGAGTGTACTGGGCAGCTAATACATGAACTACGGAGAGCTGCATGCAGTCGAACAAGGTTAGAGCCACCCACAGTCACCCCATCTGTGGGCCTTGTGTCATTATGGTTTGGAGCAGATTGTTAAGGCACCATGTATGATATACATTTAAGCCCCATATGGTTAAGCATGGCAAAAGAAGGCTGACATGTATTGGCAATAAAACTAAAATTAAAGCATCATGAATTTTTGCCAAAGTTCTATTAGAATCATTGATGATTTGAGGCAGGGCCTTGCTATATAATCTCCCTGCAGTGCTGAAAAAAGATATCAGTGACAACTCAAGATTTATTTATTTTTATTTATTTTTTGTCGGTCGTGGGGGCTGAACTCTGGGCACTGTCCCTCAGCTCTTCAGCTCAAAGCTAGTGCCCTACCACTTGAGCCACAGCACCGCTTCTGGCTTTTTTTTCTGTTTATGTGGTGCTGAGGAATCAAACCCAGGGCCTCAAGCATGTGAGGCAAGCACTCTACCACTGAGCCACCTTCCCAACCCCACAACTCAAGATTTTTAAAATAGTTTTTTAATACCTTGAAGTCAGTGCTTAATAAACAAATACGTTTTTGGTTTACATATGTAAACAAAAAAAGTTGTTATATTAAGTAAACGGAGCAGAAATAACATTTAAATACCAAAACTTGAAGTTGTGCTCATTTTAAAAATATGTGCCAGGTAAGTAGATTTTGAAGGACGAGATTAGTTCAGCCATTTCACATAGTGTCTCCATTCCCTGTTAAAAGTCAAGCTTTTTGTAGATTTACTCTTGGCAGCCCTAGGTGATAAACTCCTAGTGGTGATAATAGACCAGTAACTCCTGACTATTTCCTGTGTGCCATTGTATATATTTAGTCAGATGTTTGGATGTGTTATATCTTTTCATGCTCACAACAACCTGCCTGACCCCTCTAAACAAATGAGACTGTTGAGGCTTTAGGAAGTCTCAGTGATGTGTGTACACCTAGCTAGTAAGAGGCAGAGATGAAATTCAGAACCACGCTTGGTGATTCTAGTCTCAGGGTTTTTTTTGTGTGTTTTTTTGTTTTGGTCAGTCATGGGCCTGAACTCTGGGCCTGGGCGCTGTCCCTCAGCTCTTCAGCTCAAGGCTAGCACTCTACCACTTGAGCCACAGTGTCACTTTTGGCTTTTTCTGCCTATGTGGTGCTGAGGAATCAAACCCAGGGCCTCATGCATGCAAGGCAAACACTCTACCACTGAGCCGCCTTCCCAGCCCCTAGTCTCAGTTTTTTTGCATCACTTTGCTCTCTAGTCTCTAAAAGTAGTTCCTAAATACCACTTGAAAACCAAAAGCAAGCCAGACATGAAAGTTTATGCTCTCAGAAGGTTGAGGCTGGAGGCTAACAAGTTCAAAGCTAACCTAGATTATGTAATTAGTTTAAGGCCAGCTTGGGCCTTATCTTATGAAATTACAACCCAAAGGAAACTAAAAAGCAAAAAAAAACCCAGATGGATATATTTAAAGGTATTATGATGTATTTATTTGCTTTTTTTTCTTCTTCTTTTTTTTGTCAGTGTTAGGCTTGAACTCTGGGCCTGGGTGCTGTCCCTGAGCTCTTTAGCTCAAGGGTAGCAATCTACCATTTGAACCACAGCACCAGTTCTGGTTTTCTGGTGGATAACTGGAGATAAGAGTCTCATGGATTTTCCTGCCCAGGCTCTTTGAACCACAATCCTCAGATCTCAGTCTCCTGAGTAGCTAGGATTACAAGTGTGAGATACCAGGGTCCTGCTTAGTTATTTGCTTTGAATGCTGGTAGATTAGAGAAATATACAGTTGGTAATTATAATACCTGCTTTCTTTAGCTCATCTTTGCATTTTAATGACTAGTAGGTATTATAGATAGTTACAGTGTGGGTGTTCATAATGTTGAAACATAATGGCACACCATTTGAGCATTTAAAGAACATTAATTCTGGTTTTCTTTCCCTAGCATCAGGCGGACCAAGTTGAAGGAGATGGAGTCAGCAGCATGCAGTGGAATGGTGAAGGGTGAACAGTGCACTAACAAAGTCCTTCCATTCACTAGACATTGTTTCCAACGTATCCTTTAGCTAAACTGAATAGGCATTGGAAAAGCATTTATTGTTTTGGGCTGCCTATTTCTTTTTTCTAATAATGAGGTACTAGGGATTGAAGGTAGGACATGCTAGGCAAATTCTCTATCACTGAAGGTTGCTGCATTTCAATCCCATGTTTACATTTTTTCCCATGTTTACATTTTTCCCCTCTTTTTTGTTTTTGAGATAGGGTTACTATCTAACCACAGTCCTCCAGATCTCAGACTCTTGAGTAACTAGGATTATAGAATGAATCACCAGCAAATCACCAGAAAATCTTTTGTTGTTGTTGTTGGTGGTGGTGGTAGTGGTTGTGGGGCTTGAACTCCTGGCTATGTATGTCAGTTTTTCTTTCATTTTATTTTTGGTGCCAGTCCTAGGGCTTGAACTCTTACCTGGCCATTGTGAGCCACAGCTCTACCTTGGCTTCTGGGTGGTTAATTGGATATAAGAGCCTCTTTTTTTTCCTGCCCAGGCTGGCTTCAAACTGTGATCCTCATATCTTAGCCTACTGAGTATCTAGGATTACCGGTGTGAGCCAGCAGGGCCTGGCTAAAGAAAATCTTTTTGGTGGAGATTTGAGGACTGTATTAAGAAGAAATGATCCTCCTCCTCAAAATATCTGAAATTGGTTCAGAATAGTATTATTAATAGAGATTTGCCTTAGGAGCCCATTATTAGCAAAACAGACTCCTGCAGAAATATCTACTAAATGGTAAATTCAGCTGCTGTCATTTTCCTGTACCAGCAGTTTGATTGGGATATTACCTGTTACAAATAATAAAATTCATAGACAAGCACTATAAGTAAGGAAAGTAGCAAATTTTGTCCAGATATGGAAGCAAAGAATCATGGTATATTTTACTCCTAACTTGCAAACTCTAGATATCCTCTTGAACCGCTCTCAGCAGCTCTTCTCCAGCTGCACTGCCAAGTTCGCAGATGGGCAGCAGTGCTCTGTGCCAGTTTTTGACATTACCCACCAGACACCTCTGTGTGAAGAACATGCCAAAAAAATGGTAAGTTCAGATTTTATTTCCTGCAGTAAAAGTTTTCAAACCTGTGACATTTCTTCCCAGTAGGAAATACCTTGTGATACAGTACAAACTGTTGGGTATCTATCACTGAAACAAGTTTTGCAAAAACTGTTTTTATTACTTGAAGTTTTCCAGTGAGTTTTTTTTTTACCTAATTAAAAAAAAATACTAATGATGACTTATGGAATTAATTTTAGATCCTCACTAAACAACTAACCCAAAACATTGCTTTAGAAGATTTTTAGTGTAGGTTAAATACTCTTAATCTGAACATCCCAAATCCATGAGGTTCCAAGGTGCTACGATATTCAAAAATTTCAGGATGATTCCTCAGCATGGGAGTGGTGGGCAAGAGATGACATTTTTAATATTGTTTTTACAGTTATTGTGAGCTAGGTATCTTTTGAAGCCAGGCACTGGTAGCTCATGCCTGTAATCCTAGCTATTCAGAAGGCTGAGATCTGAAGATCACAGTTCAAAGCCAGCTGGGGCAAGAAAGTCCATGAGACTCTTCTACAGTTAATCACCAGAGAACTGAAAGTGGCACTGTGGCTCAAAGTGGTTGAGCACCAGCCTTAAGTAAAAGAACTCAGGGGGCAGTGCCCAGGTACGGAGTTGAAGCCCCATGCCAGACAAAATAATAATGTGGTGTATTCAAATGCATATCTGTGGGAGGAAGGCACAGAATCTGAGTGAAGGGGGCTGAAAAGCAGCAGTGAGCACAGTGGACATCGATGAAAGTGAACTCTACAACTTGTGTGTGGAGATGGGAAGGAAGGAATTGAGTGAGGGAACCGGTGACACTGTACAAAAGGAAATGTATTTATCACATGACACAGTAAATGTAATCCCTCTGAATATCACCTTTATAATAACAATAAATAAATTTAAAACAAAACAAAAATACTTGTTGAGCAAAAGTGACGCTTTATTGCCAAGGTTATAACATGCTCTGGTCCCCAACTTCTTAGGTGTTCTTTTTTCTCATTTGTGCTTTTTCATTTACCTTAAAATGATTATCTTCCTTACCCAATCACATAAAATCTTGTTACCCTTTACTCTAACAAAACTGAAGATAACTAATTTTGCTTTTCTGTATCCATAGGAAGTATTTATATCATCACTGTTCAGTTTTCTATATTCTGTAATGTATACATGTTTTTCTCATAGGAGAGTATAAGTCCTTTGATGGCACAAATTGTGTACAGTGTTTTTTTTCCCAGTGGTGGGGATGGAAGCTGAGGTGTTTACTTGCTAGGCAAGCATTCTGCCACTGAGCTACACAGCTGATCAGCTCTCACAGTGTCTAAATGCATGATTGACAGTATACAAACATACATATTATGTTGAATTGATATGAGATAAATTAATCTCTTGCCTATTCAACTGTCATTATAAATAGCTTTAAATCTATAGGCTGGGCACTGGTGGCTCACACCTGTAATCAGATCTCAGGAGGCCGAGATCTGAGGATCACAGTTCAAAGCCAATTGGGCATGAAAGTACTGAGACTCTTACCTCCAATAAACTACTCAGAAAACCGGAAGTGGCACTGTGGCTCAAGTGGTAGAGTGTTCTCCTTGAGCTGAAGAGCTGAGGGACAGTGCCCAGACCCAGAGTTCAAGCCCCACATCCCACTTAAAAAAAAATCTATAATAGGTCTAAATACTTAGGTAACTAAATTTTTGACAGATTATCTCAGGTTTTTATGATTAAATTAACGAAATAAAACCATAAGTTATTTTCATATTATGGCATAAGGTGATGTTTTAATACATATATTTATTGTATAGAATTTATAGCAGTTTAGGGGCTGGGAAGGTGGCTCAGTGGTAGAGCGCTTGCCTTGCATGCCTGAGGTCCTGGGTTCGATTTCTCAGCACCACATAAGCAAAAAGGAAAAAAAGCGCTGTGACTCAAGTGGTAGAGCGCTAGCCTTGAGCTGAAGAGCTGAGGGACAGCACCCAGGCCCAGAGTTCAGGCCCCACGACCGAACCCAAAAAAAAAAAAAAAAAGAATTTATAGCAGTTTAAATCTGTTTTCTCATATATTTAAGTCATTTCCTTATGGTAAAGCTTTTAAAATCTTTTGTTCTGGTTTTATTTTTTTAATGTAACCAAAATAAATGCTATCTAGAATCGCTTTATTGTGTGATAGCCCCTAAAGAGGGAAGGGGAAGTAATTTGACCAATGAATAATCTCAGTTTTAAAAAACAACTCACTCATTCCACAGGATAATTTCTTGAGAGGAGATAACTCCCGTAAAGTTCAGCACCAGCAGCAGAGGAAACCCAGGAAAAAAACCAAGCCTCCTGCACTTACCAAAAAACACAAGAAGAAGAGAAGGCGTGGACCTCGCCGACCCCAAAAACCCATTCCCCCCGCTGTCCCCCAAGGGAACCTCAGCATGCCCACCAGCGTCTCACTGCCAGTGGAGGCCTCACACATCCGGTCAGTGTGATTCTGGGTTTTGCTTTTCCTTTTCGCTTCTGGCCAGTCACTCTCAGATCACCTGTTTCCAAGTGCTTGTTGTGCAGTTCCTTCAGAAGCTAGTCAGGAGTCACCCTAGAACTTTCTTTTAATAACAGATTTTGCTGATATCAGCACTTATTGGTTATAGCAGAGAGGAAATGCTAAAATTTAAAAATTGTCTGCTGTTAAATGTTTGTGAGATTTTTTGGTTTTTTTTTTTTGTTTTTGCTTTTGCTTTTGTTTTGAGACTATTGCTTTGTAAATCTAGACTGGCTTGGAATTTCCTAGACTGGCCTCAAAAGTTGTAATTTCTTCCATGGTCTTGTGAGTGTTGGGATTACAGCTGTAATATACCACCATGCCCTGCCCAATTTTTGTGCTTTTGTTTTTTTGGGGTTTTTTGCCAGTCCTGGGGCTTGAACTCTGGGGTACTATCTCTGAGTTCCTTTTTGCTCAAGGCTAGCACTCTACCACTTGAGCCACAGCGCCACTTCTGGCTTTTTATTTTGGAGTCTCACAGCTTTTAAAAATCTGCCCAGAGGGGCTAGGAAGGTGGCTCAGTGGTAGAGTGCTTGCCTTGCATGCATGAGGCCCTGGGTTCGATTCCCCAGCACCACATAAGCAAAAAGAAAAAAGCCAGAAGTGGCGCTGTGGCTCAAGTGGTAGAGCGCTAGCCTTGAGCTGAAGAGTTGAGGGACAGCGCCCAGGCCCAGAGTTCAGGCCCCACTACCAGACCCAAAAAAAAAGAAAGAAAAGAAAAAAATCTGCCCAGACTGGCTTTAAATCGTGATCCTCAGATCTCAGCCTCCTGAGTAGCTAGGATTGCAGGCCTGAGCCCCCAGCACCTGGCCATTTTTTGTGTTGTAATAGAAATTTCATAGATGTTGTCATAGAAATATCATATATATATCCTATATATTTATTTTAGCAGACTTAAGCATTTTTGACCAGATGAATGAAGCTTCAGTTTTAGCTAATAATTATTTTGAACAAGATTTGAACTTTTACTAAAAAGCATAAAGGGCACGGTGAATACACCAGCTTCTGGTTCATCCTAATTTTAAGTACAGATGTTGTCTGGTAATGATTGCATAGTGTGTGTGTGTGTGCGTGTGCGTGTGCGTGCGTGTGCGCGTGCGCGCGCGCGCGCACGTGCATACTTGTCCTTGAACTCAGGGCCTGGGCACTACCTCTGAGCTTTTTTGCTCAAGGCTAGTACTCTACCACTTAAGCCACAGCTCCACTTCTGGGTTTTTTAGTGGCTATTAGAGATAAGAATCTCATGGACTTTGCTGCCTTAGTTGGCTTTCAGCTGCAATCCTCATGTCTCAGCTTCCTGGGTAACTATTATTACTGGTATGGGCCACTTGGGCTTAGCTTGCATTGTGTGTAATAGTTGCAGAAACATGACTACATATGGCAAGCTATTTTTGTAATGTGTTGCTTTCAGATTTCCTTCTCATAAAGTAGTAAAAGAGCTATTTCCAGTTAGGGGTTCCCATGTCAAAAGACACTGGATTCTTCTATTCATGGTGAATAGAGTGGAAGTAAAAGGGGAGTCTTGATACCAACTGCATTGTCTTCCAGGAGCCCATCCACGCCAGAGCTGAGTGCTGATGAGTTGCCGGATGACATTGCCAATGAGATCACTGACATTCCACACGACTTGGAATTGAACCAGGAGGACTTTTCAGATGTCCTGCCCCGGCTACCTGATGACTTGCAAGATTTTGATTTTTTTGAAGGTATGGTCACTTCAATTTATAGAAAAATAGTTGTTTATTTTGTTTCAGGCAGGGTCTCACTATGTGGCCTAGGATGGCCCTGAACTCTTCACCTTGCTTTAGCCTCCTGTGTTTTTATGGTACTGGAAATAGGGGTATGTACCGCCATCCCTGTCCTGGGAAATATCTTTTTGAAACATTTCTACAATGTTCCTCCCAAATATAATGTCTTTTACCTGGCTCCAGTGGCTCACGCCTGTAATCCTAGCTATTCAGGAGGCTGAGATGTGAGAATCATGGTTCAAAGCAAGCGGGCTGAAAGTCATTGTGAGACTCTTATCTCCTCCAATTAACCACCAGAAGTGGAGCTATGGCTCAAAGTGGTAGAGCACCAGCTTTGAGCAAAAGAGCTCAGGGAGAATACCCAGACCCTGAGTTCAAGCCCTTGATTGACTAATTAAATAAATAAATGTATGTCTTTCATTATAAATAGAAAATATTCTTTCTTTTGGGGGGGGGGGGTCCGGTTGTGGGGCCTGAACTCTGGACCTGGGTGCTGTCCCTAGCTCTTCAGCTCAAGGCTAGCACTCTACCACTTGAGCCACAGCGCCACTTCCGGTTTTTTTCTTTTTGCTTATGTGGTGCTGGGGAATCGAACCCAGGGCCTTATGCATTGCAAGGCAAGCACTCTACCACTGAGCCACTAACTCCCAGCCCCCCTCTTTTTTTTAAAAACAAAAAACTTAGTTTCTTTAGTTACAAAGAAAAATTGGGAAGGGAGCACCTTGAGGTTTGAACTCAGGACTTCATGCTTGCTAAGCTTGGTGCTTGCTCTACCACTTAAGCCAACTTCCCAATCCTTCCTGTTGTAGTTATTTTTTTAAATAAAATCTTGAGTTTTTGCCCTGGTTAGCCCAGACTCTGATTTTCTCAGTTATGCCTCCTGCATAGCTAGGATGAGAGGCACATATCACCTCACCCAGCTTATTGGTTGAGATGGGAGAACTTCCTCAAGCTGGTGAGTACCTGGGATTACAGGTATGTGCCACTGTACCCTGGTTGCCTTTTTTCAGGGTGGGGCCACTACTGGTGCTTGAACTTAGGGCTTCATACTCCCACTTGGCTTTTTCACTTACACTGGTATTCTACCACTTGCTGTGTCTCCACTTCCGGCTTTTTGCTGCTTATTTGGAGATATTCATGATAGTTCCATCTCAGCCTCCTGAATGGCTGGGATTATAGGCGTAAGCCACCAGCACCTGGCTCTAATAACTAATGTTTTTTTAATAATGTTAATGAAATCAAAGTCCATGGGCTTCTATTTTATGGAAATTAGGCTGGAAGGGAAGGATTAGAGAGTAAGGTATAACATAAGCATTTTGAAAGATAAGTCACAACCAGAACAGTGTTTTTGGTGGTGGTATGTTCAAGTGTTCCCTAATTGATCTCTAGCTGGGAAGTCTAGGTATAGACAAAGTTAGGTATACCTGTCCTATACAGCCTTGTTTTCTCTCTCAGTGACATTAGTATTTTAGGTACAAACAGGTATAGTCAGATATAATCAGCCTGAGTTTTTAAGTTGGTAAGCCTTAGATTTCCTAGGAATTTATCAGTTGATAAGATAGTTTTGAGAATATCTTCAATAAACTAATGGTGGTGGTTCAAGTTTTAGCACAGATACATGTTCTGAAGATTAATATTTTGTTTACTTTTCCTTTTAGTACAGTTCTTAGAAATTTTTCAAGAGACTTTTATCTGATCAGTTATTTGAAATAATTCAAATGTATGTTTTTTTGTTTTTTGGGTTGTTTTTTTTGTAATATACATCATGCATCATTCTTGCTGGCTTTTGTTGATCCAGGAAAGAATGGAGACCTCCTCCCAACGACTGAAGAGGCCGAGGAGCTTGAACGGGCTTTGCAGGCTGTAACTTCTCTTGAGTGCCTGAGTACCATTGGGGTACTTACCCAGTCAGATGGTGTGCCAGTCCAGGAGTTGTCTGACCGAGGACTGGGAGTGTTCTCCACAGGTACTGGAGCTTCAGGAATCCAGTCCTTGAGCCGAGAAGTGAACACAGACCTAGGGGAGCTATTGAATGGGCGAATAGTACCTGATAATTTTTCTAGTCTAGAGCTGGATGAGAACCTGCTCCGTTCTGCTACCTTGTCTAACCCACCTACACCCCTGGCAGGGCAGATCCAGGGGCAGTTTTCTGCCCCTGCCAGTGTTGGCCTTACTTCTGCCACTCTGATCAGCCAGAGTGCACTTGGGGAGAGAGCCTTCCCAGGACAGTTTCATGGACTTCATGACGGCAGCCATGCCTCACAGAGGCCACATCCTGCCCAGCTGCTGAGCAAGGCAGATGACCTAATCACCTCACGACAGCAATACAGCAGTGATCATTCACACTCCTCGCCCCATGGAAGCCATTATGACAGTGAGCACGTGCCGTCTCCCTACAGTGACCATATCACCTCTCCCCATACAACATCGTACTCTGGTGATACTATGGCAGCTACCTTTTCAGCAGAGATGCCCATCATGGCACAGCACTTGCTCCCAACCCAACTCGAGGTGCCACTTGGAGGAGTGGTAAACCCCAGAACTCACTGGGGTAATCTCCCTGTCAACCTTGGAGATCCCTCTCCCTTTAGCAACCTTCTCGGCGCAGATGGACATCTTCTTTCCACTTCCCTCTCCACACCACCCACCACGTCGAACTCAGAGACCACACAGCCTGCCTTCGCCACCGTGACCCCTAGCAGCTCCAGTGTGCTTCCGGGGTTACCGCAGACCAGCTTCAGTGGCATGGAGCCTTCCGCTGAACTCATGGCCTCCACCTCTCCGAAGCAGCAACTCCCTCAGTTCAGCGCAGCCTTCGGCCACCAGCTGAGTTCTCACAGTGGCATTCCTAAGGACCTGCAGCCCAGCCACAGCTCCATAGCCCCTCCTACAGGCTTCACAGTAACAGGTGCCACGGCGACAAGTACCAATAACGCATCTCCTCCCTTCCCTTCTCCCAACTGAGTGCATCTGTGCAGGCAGGAAGGTGGGGAGCCTGTTTTCTATCTTCGTTTCCTCCTTTGCCCCTCCCCCCCCTTTTCCTAAAGAAGATTTAAAAGAGACGGATGGGGATTAGAGGGGCTCCCCCTTCCAGCTCAACACGTGGCCGTGCAGTGGACCTCACTTCAGTGTTCACATGTGCTCCTTAGCACTGGTGCTCATTCCCTCCTGGCAGGTCCTCTCGGCCGGTGGTTTCCGTGGTGGTTCAGCACAGTGACTGGATAGGATGGATTTTTTTGCAGCAAGTCCTAGAAGTGGAAGATACCTCAGATTACCAGTGCCCTTTACTATTTCCTAGTGTGCAGATCAGTGCTTTCCATTCTGTAGCCAGGTTTTTACATAGGTGGCTCTCCAGAGAATGATCCTGTTAACTGAGTTCCTGTGTAGGAGGTAGCGGGTGGTGGAGGCAGCTCAAGGCCTGACCTAGCAGCAACTGCCAAACACCACAGTGAGGCCAGGATGCCATTCCTAATTTGTGAAATGGTTAAGAAGAAAAAGAGACGTCATTGACCGCCTGTGAGTGTGTGTGCACCCATGTGTGTGTTTTGTGCAGTGCAGGAAGTAACTGTCCCCTTGCTTTGTTGTTTGTTTACCCCTGAAATGAGCATAAGGCTCTTTTCTTCCCTACATCTCACACCACCTTCATAAGGTTGGTCATGCTTTCCCACTGAGTTCATTCAAGTTTCCTAATAGGGAGGGTCTGGTCATGTGAATAAATAGCACAACCCTTTTCTGCTCAAAGGTAGTTGTGAAGAAATGAGACAGGAGAAGCTGCAGTCATGTCCCTGTCTGGGAATGCCGTGGAAAGCTCACCTGCAGTGACTTCAGGGCTCTCGAGGTTTGGGGGGGTCTAGGGGTCATTTTGCCTTTTCAGATGTGCATTCGTTTCTATGTCCCTTGCTCATGGAACACATTTGCAAGGTGTAATTGAAGAAACTATTTTGATGTGAAAAAGCAGGATAGGTCAGATAGGTTTGAAAGATGATATCTGTGAACTCCTTGGTCCATCTTTTGCGTTCGAAATTCATGTTTACAGTAGTGATTCTTTGGTAAGCTTTGTAAAATGTTGAAGACCCTTGTAGATTCAGTGTGCCAGTTGTGGAGTGATGTATAATATCTGAAGGATACACATTTTAAAGTTTCTCTCAAAGCAGAATGTGGAAATTGACGTAAATTTTACCTACCTTTAGTATTTTTTTAAAGTTAGGCTTAAGTCAATCTGGAAACGGTTTTGAAAAAAAAAATTATTTTAAAGAATCAAGATTTTAGGGTTAAAAATCCTATTGGGAGTTTAGTAAGCCGATGGCTATGAGATAATATATGTGAGGTTTCTTTCTGTCTGCCTTGCCCTCACAAGAAGGATTGCGCTAGATTTAAAAAGCATCTCTGCTCTGCTTTTCCTGAGAAGTTCACTGTCGTGTAAGATACCATTCGCTGGCTATTCATACCTGAGTCTGTTCTAATTTAAATACATGTTTTAAAAGATGAGTAAATGATGTGCTATAGTAACTCATTTATCAGGGATGATTTGCTCTCAATTCCTTTCTAATAGGTAAAGATTTGAATGCTTTCCCATTTTCCTGTGTGTATTCTTTATGCTCATGCTAGTTGTAACCAGTTTCTTCTTTTCAAAGGTTTTCTCCTCTGCTTTTTTAAGGAATGATGGTAATCAGCAGGCACTATGCAGATACCTCGTGCCTAAGATATTGGAGGGAATGTCACATGACTGTATGAAATCATAATACTCCCTATTTTGTATTTATTGAAGTTTTTTTGGGGGGAGGGCCAAAAATACGTTTGTAATATATTTACTTTTTTTTAAATCATGATAATTAATTGGAAGATTTATTTTTAATAGCTTTGCCTTTTGCAGATTGATAAATTTCTAAATTATGTCACAAAGCAAAATTATATTTGGTATCACCATAAATTTCTATTCTGAATAGTAAAAACAGCTCATTTGAATATTTCTCACCTGTGAACCTTTGTCAGTAAAATGATGATGAATAGTTGCCTCTGCTCTAGTGTCCTTTCCTCTGCTGAGCTGCATTCCCAGTGATTTTGTTTTGTTTCCACTGTGTACTAATTAAAGGTTGTAGCAGAGCAGCACATGCACTTCCTAATCAGCTCTTCTTTGACAGCGAAGGGAAGGTCATGGGTAGTTTATTTGAACTTTTTCTGGGTATTTGTCTCTCATGTTAGCTGTTTAAAATTCCTTAGATGTCAAAACTGAGTTTGCAGTAAGTTGCACATTTTATTGTTTGCAATTTTCTGTTTGATGTGCATTTAAAAGCCCTTCTCTGCTTTCTAGTAAGGAGGCACGAAGTGATCAGGAATGTTGCCAGTTACAGCTTCACACCAAAAATGTTGATTAAATCCCTTTCGTTTAGATGCCCATGATGACAGTTGAGCAAGGGGCCATCTTAGGAAGTACCAGCCAGCCTAGGGTTGAGAAATTCGCAGAAACACACTTTCCTCTTTTCAACTGCTTCAAGACAAGTATCCAAACTTGCAGTGTGCTCTGCCCTTGCTGTTCCTGTGAGTCCTTGTTGGAAGAGAGAAGAAACATTTTATAAACCCAGAGATATCATTATGTTTTTCTTCCAGTTATTGGGGGCAGTTCTGATCTGTTAGTACTGGGTGGGCTATTACCTGCAAAGAAAGGAACAAAGTGTATTTTACTCCAAAAATATGAAAATTAGTGTCCTTTAAAATAGCACTTATGTTATTGTAAGGCAATACTGGAATCAAAAAAAATCTTGTATGAGGTCCTAAAACTAGTAAAAACTAGATTTTATTCTAGTGTTCAGTGCGTGAGAAACAGTTGCAGAGAAGGCTCATTCTGTTTCTGCAGTTCTTTGGGACCATAGATAAAGGCCAGTTAGATCGTGTTACTGTGATTTATTTTTCAAAGTTGCTGCAGTTAACGGATGTTTTCTGTGCTCTTAGGATCTGATATTTGTGGACTGTGATCGATAGCATCCGAAGAAAAGATGGGCTTTTTCTCCCTTAACTGTTAATGCTACTTTAATAAAAGTACTTAAGACATTGTTTTGCCCTCTGTACAAATGGTTTAGCAATTTTCACTTCTGAGTAGGTTTATCTAGCTAGTAAACAATTCAGGACAGTAAATAGCAATTACACTTAACCCACCAAGTGACAGGCTATGCAATGGAAATATTTCTAATTGTCATTACAAAGCTTATACCGCAAAAGATGATTTTCTATAATAAGACTAGAGAACACACCTGCTTTATAAATGACTTCCTGAGCAGTTCCATGTTGGCAGACATTATAGTGTATCTGGTGTTCCTCTCTTGAGATTGTTATTTTATGAAAAGCAAATAGCAGGTAGCAAGTTGGAAAGTGATTTATTTTCTTTAAAAGTGATGTTACCAATTTTATGATAAGACTTGAGTTTTGCCAAATAACTGTAAGATTTTCTTTTCTGTTTTGGTGGTACTGGGGTTTGAACTCAGGGCCTTGGCTTGCCATCAGGTGCTCTACCACTTGAGCCATGCCTCCAGCCCAAGATTTATATAAGTCAGCCCAATCTTTTACCTAGAAGTTAGGGAAATCATCATTTTCTGTAACTTATACAAAGGCTTTAACAGAGTTTGTCTTCAATTCATGATTACAATTTATAGCGAAAAAGATAGTTCTTTAGGAAGGACACCAGTCTGTGCTGCTCACAACTTTTTTCTTTTTTTAACACTTCTGTTGACCTGTAGCAGCATGTACTTCCATAAATTTGGCACTAGAATTCGAGCACATGGAGGTGAATCGCTTACTGTCAGTTCACTGGTCCTGTCTGCCCTCTCCTGTGTTCTAGCATCTAGGGAATGGTTGATGGGCTTCGTTAGAATGTCTGAAGGAGAGTGATGCCTTTTCTCTAACTTCAAAAGGTTCAAAAAGTTGTTGTGGGGTGATACTGCAAAACCAGAAGGATATTAATGCTATTTAATAGATTTGAGATTCATTAAAACATTGTAGATGTCAAGTTTCCAACTGCATCCTTTTTTTTTTAGCCTAACTTTCTTTAAATTAAGTTCTATTCTTAATTTGGTCTATGTAGAATAATAGAATCTTTTGCTGAATGGCCAACAGAACCTTCCAGTTTAATGAGACAGTTTAGACAATTCCTTGAAAGAAAATAGTCATTGTGAATAGTCTTAATTTGAATCTCTTTCATCACAAATACATTGTTCTAAGGATTTTTTTCCAAATATATTTAATAGATTATATATGTGTATGCACATATTTTTATTAATTCACAAATGACTATAGATGTTTTTCCCCCTCAATAAATTAAAAGTAATGGGATCTTCATTGGCGTTCTGTAGAAAAGTAAAATAATTTGATAATATCTTGATCTTTTAAACTTTGCTCTATCTTAATTGGAGAGAACTAAAATCATGTTGAATAGATTAAATAAACATTTTAAATTCTGTCTTCCAAAGCTTTGTAATAGACTACCTGTGAAGAACACATACATATTTAAACTTTTTTTCCCAGTACAGGAGAGAAAACAACACATATGAACAATTAAATCTCTAATAACCAGTGTCATTACTGCTATAATTGTGGGTCATAGGGATCCTTTCATGTTTATTTAGTTAGCTTTCCCCTCAGCACTGTGATATAGAGCTAATAAAAGGAGCTGTGGCATTTCAGAGAGGGAGCAAATTTGATATAACTTTATCTTCTGTTCTTGAATATCAGAAATGTTTGGGTAATTTGAGCATATATCTAAGAATCTTTGAGCAATCTCAAGTTTAGGTATTCTAAGAGAAAAACTCTATCTGACTTATAGTGAGCTCCTTCTGGCAGCACAGCTCTCCTTCCTCCCCCTACCTGCGTGCTCTGGTCCACCCAGTACTGCGGTATGTGTGAGCACACACATGATCAGTACTGACTATGGCTGAGGATTAATAGAATCCCCTGCGTTCCCTTTTTGTTTGTTTGTTTGTTTGTTTAAAGCTGGGGACCACTGAAGTAAGCTCTATATGCACCCAAAGTTCCCCATGGAAAACTTTCCAATGTGCAGTGCAGAAGGCTCCAATGCAGACAAAGGCCACACCATTTCTTTTTCTTGGGGAACAGACCGATTTCCCCCAGCATGACTCCAACCGACCCATTTGGTTAAGGTACAGTTGGTTCCAGTGGGTTAGAGTGAACATGGTGGAAAGCTTGACACTTGATGACATTGTTTGCATTCTTCTAAGCAGTGATAGCTCTTCACTGTATAGTATTGAGTATGTCTCAGGGATTCCTTGCGGAAATTAGGGCAGTTTTTAAAATTAAAAAAAAAATAGTTTTCAAAGAAACTAAAGGTGACTCATCATTGAAGAGAGCGTAAGAAGAGAAAACATTTCGGTTTTGTAGCCTGCAGTGTCTCGCCTAGGACTTTTTTCCTTTCTACTTCAGGCTCTCATCTCAGCTTCAGTGTGCAGAATCCTTTCCATCACGCACAGCTTTAAAACTTTTATTTAAGAATTTCCTTCCCCAATGAGCTTTCAGAATACTTATTGTAGATTTTAAGAGAAAAGGTATATTAATTTATGCTATTAACATCACCTCATAAATTATAAGTTTTATACTAAAGCTGTATTGAGTGTAATGAATTATGTTGCCTATGTGTTTAATAGCTAAAAAAATTATATATGAGCTTTTTGTTTGTTTTGCTTTTTTCTTTTAACAAAACAAACTAGTGAAGCACCTTTTTACACTGGATCTCTGCCGTGTCAAGGTGCATAGCTATCCTTTGCTACCTTGCAGATATATAAAATAAAAGGATATCCTGGGGCCTCAAAATGTAGAACACCTTTAGACCATTTATTATTGTCCATAGAACTGTTGAGAATCATGTTCTTTAGTAAATGATCTGTGGTTTACACTTAAGATGGCTAGAAGCTTAGTTACAGGGTAAGTAGAATTACATAGATCAAGTAAAACTCCAACTACTGTAGCTGGAATTTGTAAACTAAGTTTTTAAGACCTCTTTTATTTCCTATGGATTTATTCTTTAATTTACAGTTTATTCTGTAAGTTGGGAAGTAAAATAGAGAAAATAAGAAGTCTAGATGTTCTCAGTGTCTTATTCAGGAACTTTTTTATCCCTCCTCACTAAGGAATTCCCACTGTGACTTAAAAATAGAATTAAATTACTTGTGTGCATGTAGATGTCTGTGTTTTTTTATACACATGCAAAAATATACATTGGGGGCACGTGTGTGAGAGATATGAATGTGTGCTTGTGTAAAAGTAGAGGAATGGGACCGAATGTATTGTAGAAATATGATTTATTTAGTTGAGGATATGAGAGTTTCTTTCTCATAGTCTCTTGTATAACTACACCAAATTTTTCATTATGTTATGTTAAAAGGCTAGTTCTGATATCATGTGCATTTTATTTTAATCTTTGGGTTAACTTATTCTGTTTTTAAGGTGACATGACAAATAGCAGATTCTAAGACCAGCCTCTCCATTTTGAGCATTAGAATGGGAGAGGGAGAGACAGAACAAACAGATCCGAACAGGAACAATGTTTATCCGTTTGGGTGATGGGACCAGAGATCTGTTGACCCTTTTTTATGCTAATAATAATTTTCTTCATATTCTAAATAATAAGTGCTATTGATCTGGGTAAAGGTAAGAAAAGTTATAGGCCTTTTATAAAGAAACTTTGAAGGGGCTGCTTTGTTTAAGGAGTTGGTGGGGATCATTTCACCATGCATATTTCAAAGCTGAGGTGATGTCAGTTCCAAAACACATTTTAATAAATTTTACTCAGTTGTGCCATTAGTTATAAAGCTAGAATGCTCCTGCTCCCATCTTTTGGCTGTAGGAAAAATTAAGACTACCCTTGACTTTGATCCAATTCATGTGGAATTAAGCAAACAGAACATTCCTATATTTTGAGTTTTCAGTTGCCATTTTGCTCTACCTGCATTACTGAATTATCAGGTTGCTTAATACAGTCAAACTATAGAGTTAAGTGCTCTAATCACATTTTTTCAATATAAAAACCATATGCTTTGATACATCAGAACATCTGATAATAATATTTTCTGATAATCAGAAAATCTGAAATTGTCATTGAGGTCTCATTTACTGCATCTTAGATATAGTCAAAACCTAGGAAAGCTTTGTATGTTGTTCTTTTTTACACTTGTATTTTTGAAGCACCTCCCAGTTTCATTCACTTTTGCTTTTGGATTTTAAGAAATCTGCATATTTCTTGTACATATGCATGCAAATGAAAGAAGGGAGTCTGTATTGGTGCCATTTCTCCCTTCAGTGGCTGGTTAGTGGGATGTGCTAGAATATATTCCCCCTGATTGGAGGGTGGAAACTGACCCCTTTGTGTAAATCTGTACAGAGATGTGTATATGGGATGTGGTGGCACTTTGCTGAATGTGAACTTGCCTTGTCAATGGAAAGATTGAAAAGTATTATGTTTATTTATACATTTGTATAAGTCTATATATACACGTATGCATATGTGTGTATAGATAAAGCTATATACATATATTTCCCTAAAAATGTGTGTGTGTAATAGGTAAACAACCTTTGTTAAGCAAGATTATATGCCTATGGAAAATTCTGGATTCTTCTGTAAGCAGAGGAGGAGGTGAGGGTCTAGAGTACATCATTGGAGCATGCGGAAAGCCCTTTTGCATTCTCTTATTTACTGCTATCATCAATGAATACCTGTCTATTCTTACCCATCAGTTCCACTACTGTCCATCTGTGGTTACTCTCTCTCACTTAAACAAAAACAGAAACATCACTGCAGAGTTTCCCTTTGTTTGAGGTGCTGAGGATTAAACCCAGGCCTTGTACATGATGGCGAAGTACTCTACTGCTGAGCTACACCACCAGCTCTGCATTATATTTTTTCATACCTATTATGCTTTCTATGTAGAAGTATTTGGCTTAAAGGACATTTACTTTTCAGTTGTTTCTTCGAAAGATGTTTTGTCTCTGAGATTTTTCCAGAAAATATGTATCAGTAATATTTTAAAATTATTTTTATTTTTGCCAGTCCTGGGGTTTGAACTCAGGGCCTGGGCTGTCCCTGAGCCTCTCTGTGCTCTACCACTTGAGCCACAGCACCACTTCCAGCTTTTTCTGTTTATGTGGTACTGAGGAATCAAACCCAGGGCTTCATGCATACTAGGCAGGCACTCTACCACTGAGCCACATTCCCAGCCCTCAGTAATATTTTTTAAATAACTATCCTGAAAATTGGGTAGTAATTTTAAGCAAAAAGAATGCAAACATCTAAACTATTAATTTTGAAAAATTTTCCCTAATTTTTGGACATTTACTTAAATTGAACATATAATTGAAATTAGGATTTTGTGATAGTTTTAGATTGATTTTCACACTTATTGCCATTAAATTCTCACTTAGCTAGCTTGATTTGTTCTGTGGTTGAGCCACATTTTAATGAAAAGCATACCAAGTCACATGGAAGCCTCTTGAATCCTGTAACTGAGTCATTTTAGTCACAATGAAACTAATTCTTGTGAAGTGAATTCTGCTATATTTCATTTTGACTTCTCTCAGTTGTAAGTTTTAACTTTGCTGCAGCTCTAGAAAACTTGCATCCCTATATATTGTGCCTTTAAAGCTCTTATGCACACACAGACAGAAGTGTATATATACATGTGACAGCATGTGTACATATACTTGTCGTATGTACTCACACAGTATGTCTCCAGTATATATTGTGGGAGTGGACATACAGATACTCAAAGGCAATGAAAGGTTGCCCTCTAGATATCTATGTATATAAATAGTGTTGATATACCTGTATATACACGTGTATATGGATGAGTTCTAAATGGCAATCTTTTACATTTAGCAAAATGCTGCCCCCTACTGGAATATTCACTGCAACAGCAGCTGTATGTAATGATTTAAAGATGCATTATCAAAATTTATTTAAAGAACATATAAAAGTGTCATCTAAAGACATCCATACATTATTTATTTATCTTTCTTTTCCCTTTATTGTTACCTTTGTTTAGCTGAAAGGGAGACTGTCATTTTTTTAATGCCATTTGTGAGGAACAGATTCATTGAGGAATTTTTTTTTTGCATTTTTCCTCTCTGAAGTGGAGGCGTGTGCCACCACCCAGCCTGTTTATTTCAGCCATAACGTGGTCTAAATACTTCCACTAGTGAGTGTCATCCATTATCTTCTCAATCCCAGCAATTCACCAATTTGCCTCTTCCTTTCATTAATAAATAATGATCATTGAGATCATTTTGCCTGGGGGAAGTTAACTACTCTCTTGCTGCAGGGAAATACATCACCTAATTGTTATTCTGCCTTGTTCAAAATTCAACTTTGAAAGAAGACAGCTCTCATGAAGCTGTCTTGAGCACATTTTGCATTTATTTAGTTAAAGGTCTTCCCAATCATTTTTAAAAGACAATTTCAAGTTGCATATACTTGACAAAAGTTTGATTCCCCTGAGCTTCAGGTGATTTTCATTAGTATATCAGTTTGACATGCTGAATGCAAGAACATTAAGCGGGTGGAGGGGGAGAACTAATAGCTTTGACTTTATGATGAGGTGGCAGCAGATTGCATCTGAGGAACTTGGCAGAGAGGGAAAATAGGTATGGACTCCCCTAAACTGTAGGCTGGTGGGGAAACCATGGAATGAGGGTAGTCCTAAAGACTAAAACAGAGGCTGGGGTTAGAATGGTTTTACCGAGCACCTTAGCTGGAACTTGATATCAGAAGCAGCCTTTTACAAAAAGCCTTTGGCAATTGTGTGGGACTAATTAGAGTACTAAAGAGTAAGTTGAAACCAAGTTACAGTGGGAAATCGAAGGTGAGGTAGCTTATTTGGAACCACAAATGACAGACAGATTGGACAGCTTTCAAAATGTCTTCTAACAAAGTAACTGCACGGTAGCAAGGACTAGCAGCTCTCAAAGCCCTTCTTTTTCAGTGTTCTCATTCACCTTGGCACAAGAGTGTGTTGAGTACATGCCATACATTAAAACTACATCGTTGCTTAAAGGAAACTTACAAACCAACGCCTTTCTCCTCTGTTCATATTTAGTTATATGCACAAAACTGGGAGCCACTTGTTTCTGCACACCGTGGAACAGGTGACGGGCAGGCTTTGGTAGAAGCCCCATATCTGGTGGAAAAACCTGTCTAAGACATTGGGTGTGGTGTTTGTTGCTAGAAAGAATATCAAGGATGGACTTTTGGTTTGTAATTTCCCTTTAAACAAAAAGATAGCTCGCATTTTCCATATATCTCAATGAATGTACTGTATTACTGTTTTAAAAAAATTTGATGAAATAATAATGGATTGGTCTCCTTTTGTTATCTGGTCCTTGTTTAATTTGTTTAAGGGTTTTTGTATACAAAAGTTTACATTTTTATGTATATTTTTCTTGTGTAAAAACGGATGTAATATGTGTATAAAACACTGTATGTATTATCTGTATATAGTGTGACAAAACGATTTTTCTTTCTTTCTTTTGGATGTATTAATAAATCTTGCTGTGAAGTATCCTTCTTGTATCATTTCTTTTGCCTGGGTTTTCGTGGAGGTTGCTAATCCAGGGTAGGTATTTTACCCTTTATTTAAATAAAGTACTTTTTCATTTTGCTTTTTGTTTTGTTTTGGTTTGGGTCATGGGGCTTCAACTCTGGGCGTGGGCGCTGTCCCTGAGCTCTTCAGTTCAAGGCCACTTAAGCCACAGAGCCACTTCAAATTTTCTGGTAGTTGATTGGAGTTAGGTCTCATGGACATTCCTGTCCAGGCTGGCTTTGAACCACAACCCAAAAATCGTAGCCTCCTGAGTAGCTGGAATTACAGGGTGAGCCACTGGCACCCAGCAAATCTTACATTTTATCAATAAATCTTAAGCCGACACATTTATGGATTAACAGTGATTTTAAGTTATTGTAGCTGTAGCTCAACCAAATGGTATCTAAGGTGACATCCAAGCTCAACAGAACTTGTTTTTGAAATTATGTGTTTTAATGGAAATTTTTTATTTCACCAAAAGCTCTTCTGTCTTCATAGAACAATTTTATGTTATACAACTGAAGGATTTTTTTCCCTTTTTAAAAAACTTATTAAAAAGGTGATATACAGAGGGGTTCCAGTTATATAAGTGAGGTAATGAGTGTATTTCTTTTTGGACACTGTCGACCCTTCCCCTCACTCCCAGTTAACTGAAGTTTAAAAACCAAAACGCTGGGCTCAGGGTATAAATTGGAATTAGATTACTGGCACTGGTTTGATCCCCAGCTCCATCAAAAACAAACAAAGCCTGCAAAACTTGTCATCACTGGGAATTCTTATTTTAATATAGATTAGAACTTTCCTGTTGCCAAGAAAATCCTTAGTGTAAACTCTTGTGATATACATAAAGACTATAAAAAATTTCCAAACAAAAATTGCAGCTACCCAGTTACATGTTCATCTCATAGAGTGGGATATGTGTGTGTATTTAAATTTCTTTTCCTTGGTTTCTAGTATACTTAAGATATTCTGAAATGGTTTTGCTTCCCTAAAAGAAATGAATTTGAGACCAGAAGCAGATATATCTATAAATACTAGGAAAATGGTCATCACTAACATAGCTCCATCATTCTCTCTGCTTTTGAAATTGAACTGAGTGGACATC